AGTCTTCCAGTATGTTACCAGTTTCATCTTCGTTCCGAATAGCTTGAATTTTTGGTTTCTCTTTGTAGATGTGGTGGATACGAATTTTTACTTTTCTTTACATATAATTAGCTTAAATCTTCCATTGTTTGTTAAATATTAACAATTACAAACATAACAACAATCCACACCTAATGGTATTCATTTGTAAAAATTGTGTTTCTCAACCCCTCATGCCAGAAGTCTCCGAAAATAGTTTGAAGAAAGTGGGCCTACCTGGTACACTCAGCACTCAGCAGTCTGAGAACAATACACTGGCTATGGACGCAGTGTCTCAACGGTACATAAATCCCTCCATTTAATCTTAATTTTCCCTTAACCTGACCTTCGCCTGCTGGCTGCCGGTACAGTGTGGGTAACCTGGGAGAAGGGACCTGATAACGCGTCACTGATGAAGCTCACAGGTTAATTAAGTAAATTTACTTTTCAGAGAATCACTTAACTTGGTGCGGGTTGCCATGAGAGCCATTGTAGATTAACTTATTTCATTGTGATATACAGTTAATGTAATTACAATTTCAAGTATTTTTTGGAAAATGATTATAATAAATCATTTTAATGCTGTGCTGTGCTTCTTCATATTTCTGTCACTACAAGCATAAACATTCATGTTTTACATGGCGAGGTGTAGTTTCACTTAATTATGATGATTACTATGAGGTGCAGGTAATTACCCAGCAAGAACCGTAATTTAGGGCAGAGGAAAACCTGGTGTGCCAGCGTGGCCATCTTTCCTGTGAGGAGGACCTGCCGCGTGTGTTGCTCTTAATGACTTAATGATTTACTTGAGTGTGGCCAGCTGACGTGTGTGTGTGTGTGTGTGTGTGTGTGTGGAGCTGACACCGAGGAGCAGGTGAGATACAGGTGACAAACACCAGCAAATGTAATGTAACTGGAACGTAAAAACTAAGGTGGCTACACGCGCCAAGCCTTAGCATGACACTAGTATAGAAAACTTGAGTTATGTACAGGTCCTTGGTACAACCAGCTGTAGTGAGCCTTCAGCATGCAGAACTAGGCTAAGTACAGGTACTAGAGTCCATCAACTGCAACACGTCTGAAATATACTGAACTAGGCTGCCAGGTGAGACGTGAGTGGGAAACAGCTGTTGTGTTGATATAATTTAATATTGCAAGTGGAATCTGACTCTGTGGAAAAAAAATATAATAATAAAATATGAATACTGTACTGTTTTTTTTACAGAGTAGACTGCGTTGATTCACCTCTTGACAATTTATTTATCCTGCCCATATAGGAATGTTGAAGAATGTTGTGTTCCCAGCCATGTGAGACTGCTGGAGCGGCATACCAGGATAATTATTTAGTAGTGGGGGAAACATAACGTTAAGTATTATGAGGATGGCTTGACATTCTTAACTATCCTCTTTTACACCGACATTCTTGCATTGTAAAAATTCGTTTACAATGATGTCATTTTATTATGCGAGCTAAATAACTTATTTCTTATTCTTAGTGACAAAATTTAAATCCCCAGAAGTAACACGATTGATTTCAACATTTTAATAAGCAATACCCAACAATTAGCAACTATAACAGACTACCTATTCTCTAAAATGTTCATTAAAAAGATGTAAATCAACGGAATAAGTTTTACTATATTTTCAGAAGATTTACCTAAATTTTCCAGTAGTTAGACGCTGAAATTACATGGAATTTCACAAACTTAAATTTTCGTCAACGAGCTTATGTAAGTAACATATTATTTAATTTCATGTGATTGTACAGTACATCCTTACACTCCTGATGTCCGTGATTAACACAATACTACACCTGTTTCATGGACCACCTAACAACTTTGCTCCACTACAGAACGTGGGATTAAACATCAAGTACTTCGGTGCATCATAAATTTCGTCATAAGTTCTCGTTATACAGTGTAAGTGAATTTCTAACACCAGTCTCAGTGTTTTAAATGGCAGGTTTGATGAAGAAGGCTACAGTATCATGAAGTTCAGTAGTCGACAGTGTACTAAGAATCCACCATGTCTGAGTGATACCGGGTGAGGCAGACCATGAGAAACAGACCTAAGACAAACACTTCACTCTGGACACCTTGGAAGACTAGAAATGAATCTTAAACATCTATTGGTGTAATTAATAAAAGACTAATTCATTATAAAGTTTATGATACAACACATCAAGGAATCAAAAATAGAATTATCAGGGTCGGGAAACCTATTTAAGGAGAGTTTGGAGAATCAAGTACCACTGTGGTAAGGTTTATGGTCTTACGGTTCCCGTCATCAGGGAGGGGGTGGAGGGTCAAGGGGGTCTACAGAAATATCTGTTTTCAATGTGTTAGGGCTGCGTTCATCCGTCCGTCTGTCTATGTGGCAGTTGTAAACACGACAGTTCCAACAATTAACTAGAGATTTTAAACACACTTGATAAATGCATATCTTTATATCACAACATGGTCTTGGAGAAGTTTGTTTGTGAATATTTTATTGTTTTATTGTTTACATGTATGGCGCCTGAGATACAACTGAGGATTTACCGATCTTCATTTACCACCTTTTGCTATATTGGTCCAACACGCCATGAACAAGTGAACCTCACAAGTTTAGTCTCACTCTAACGGGAAATAAGCCGAATTACCATACAAAAACAATAAACTACCGCAGACTGTCACTCTCAGGGGAAACTCGAAAGACTTCCGTGAATATATCAGATGAAACTACACTCTTTAACATGTTTCCTTTCAGTTGTACCATAATTTAGTGAGCAGATGGCCAGCGCGCGGGTCCATACGTGGGGGACATTGCTCACTTCAGTTACTGCACTTATGACGGTATCTGACACTTCTTACCCGCGGCTGTAAAAATAACACAACAATCACCTAGTCCGCGAGACACTATTACGCGGAATTCAAAGCGCGACATTAACGTCCAAGTATAGATCCCGTTATTGCAATGGTAAATACAGCCAGTTTTACATAGTTGTTAATATGAAGAGTTTGATACTAAATTTAAAGAGGGAAACAAATAAACCTCAGTGAAGAGAATTCCCTTCACCGTCATCATGATATACAAGGCAGTTAAATACAAAATTAATGAACATCGATGTAATAGGAAAGACAATTATAATTAACTCCAGACAACAGACAAGGGATGTCAGAACAGAAGGAAATGATACACTAGACCCTTGATTCTCATACAAAATAAGATAAACAAGAGTCGACTCTAAGCAGGTTAGGAACTTAATATACAAGGTAACATAGGTTGTGGTATTCTCAGGTAACGAAAGCTCGAATCCTGGTCTGGATATTCAGTGCCCAATAACTAAGCGACTCTCATAACTTACACTACAGGTGGAGTTGTGTCGTGTCAACCCGAGCGTAAGAAGTATTATGTACTGTAAGTAATAAAACATCCTCTCGTCTAGAGCCACCACAGCCTGGGCCAGGAAACAGCCAAGTAACGGAACCATGAAGCCCCATACACCTCCACCACTTACCTGCCACCAACCCACCCAAACCAACCTTCATTCTTTAACCCCCAACCTTCCTCAAGACCACTACCGTTCACCACCAGTGTTAGACGTGGATTGTTGTAGATTATCGTGATTCCGGTCATTATGCGTAGGGGGTTGTCGTAACAGTTTGCTTACCGCTGCTGTTTCTCATCGTCCCGTCCCTCTGCTACTTCTGCTGCTGCTTAGTGTTTATGATTGCATGTGGGATCTAGTACACTTTCTTGCACACTGTTCACTAATTTATGTAAAGCTGGTGAGAGCAAATATTTCCTTCTTTCTTACATGTATTTTAGAATATTTACACTTCACAGTTTAATATTCCTCCACGATATTCCTACTGAATGCTTAATGCATATGGAGTGATATCTCAGAGGGAATTGACCTGCTTTATCTATAACACCTTCCAAGCAGACATCCTCTCTCCTCCCACTGGTGTCTCCTTGGTGGCATGAGCGTTGTCAGCGGCTTAGCCTGTTGACCATTCTGTGTGCCCCGAGGTGCCCGAACAGTTGACCACGTTAAATTCCTTTCTCTACTACAACATCAGGCTCCGTACTGTACACCATAAGCTAAACACGGCTGCTTTCTGCTCAAACACCTTCCCGCGGTAAGTTGAGGTTTACAGGAGCAGAAGAAGGGGTTTAATCAGTCTCGAGTGAGGTGGAGGGGTGAATACACTCCCTTCTTATGAATACTGTCGGGCTTGTGTTTTCATTGGCCGGAGTCTGACTATTTATTTCCACAATATGAAAGACTTTCCTCGTCGCCACTACTCTTCAGATAATGGAGTAGTAGATTAAGAAGTTTTGTTTGTTTTTTAATGTGAATATTAACTTACTCTTTTCCAAGGTAGATGTTAAGGAGCAGTGAACGGGGACCTTAATTGCCCCGCAGATTTTCAGTACCTGTTTTATTTTACCTCAACCAGGTCTTCTAATCCCAGAGCCTTACTGCAGGTGTTAGTATCAAGAACATAACCCTGGGTCATGGTAGCTTAGTGGGATGTGTCACCATTATTATAGAATGACAAATAACAACACTCGTATGATGTCAAACAAGTGTACTTCCGTCTGGTAGCCTTAGCGAACATAAACTAGTGATGGGATCATTATGGGATATGAAGCATATAAGGAAGTCATATACCATCAGCTACGAACCACCACGAGGGCACAACACAATAACTGGACGGACAGGACTTCCCTTTAATCTACGTCCACTGTTGTTGTAGACGTTGTGGGAACTTAATCTACTTTTACGTTTCTTTTAATTCGTTGACTTTTGTCTTTTTAAGCTTTCTTGCTGTTTCTTTGTTAGTTGAGAAGGTGTATCTAACTGTGGGTTTGAGTAATGACAGGCGATAAGAGTTTTAATGTCTAGCCATGTCCACTGCTGCTCTCTTTCATCCCACAATTACTTTCACTTATCTGATGTTTACCTCTATGTTTATACACTAATCTATTTACAGGAGAACACAGGTGAGAGATAATGACTGAGCCAGCAAGAGAGATGGAGGTGCTTGAGGAACCCGTCACCTGGGCCCACATCCTGCCTAGAGTCCTGACTTTTCTCACCACTTTCCTCTCCTCTGACGCAGGTGAGTTACAATGATGCCACTGATGTTGTTGGTTGTAGTTTTAGAAATCGGTTTCCAGAAGGTATCGTCTTGGGCAGTCAATTAATTGTTTTACCTGTTTCACTTCTTGCTTCGTAGGCAGGACAGACTCTGAACGGACAAGGACACGTTAGTTCATCACCCCCCCCCCCTTTTCTCTCTCGCTATCAACAATAATAATAATAATAATAATAATGATATTTTAGTTTTTTATAACTTTGGTTAAGTTCTATTATAAAATCTCGAACTTTACATTATCTTCCAAGACTCCCAATGAATCCTTGAGGGCTGCATAAATTAGCTTTGTGGTGAACTACAGGTTGAGGACCATTGAATTCTAATTTCACCTCAAAAACAGCCCTCAGTGAAGTAATACGATTCACAATACACAGAAAACAAATTAAACCACATGAACTCCAAAGCCTTTTAAAATACTCTTGGAAACCACAACACTGTATATTTTTTCTAGATAAATCCTCACTAAGCAAAGAAGCAGTTGAATTGGCCTCCAAGTTTTTTAGTTTGGGTGCGGATACTCAAGCAACCTTCGGCTTGACCTCCAGCTGGATTGACCTCATCACTGGAGGAGGTTCATGGGTTATTACGTTTCTCACCGTCCCCATTCTCCTCGCCTTCGTCATCTGGTACTTCATCACCACCTTTGTTATTAAGAAGAACGTACTTGGCCGGAGCGTCTGGTAAGTGGCGTACCTGGAGATTCATTTTATACCTGGAGATTCATTGTGTTACCTGGAGATTCATTGTGTACCTGGAGATTCATTGTGTTACCTGGAGATTCATTGTGTACCTGGAGATTCATTGTGTACCTGGAGATTCATTGTGTTACCTGGAGATTCATTGTATACCTGGAGATTCATTGTGTTACCTGGAGATTCATTGTGTACCTGGAGATTCATTGTGTACCTGGAGATTCATTGTGTACCTGGAGATTCATTGTGTTACCTGGAGACTCATTGTGTACCTGGAGATTCATTGTGTACCTGGAAAATCATTGTGTACCTGGAGATTCATTGTGTACCTGGAGATTCATTGTGTTACCTGGAGATTCATTGTTTTAATTAACGCATAGATTTATAAATTTAAAATATTTCTTGAGATGTACTGTATGTTAGTCACCGTTTAAGTCTGTAATAACATCATGTTCTGTGTAAGCCAAGACCCCCTAACCTAACCTAACCTATACGCTCTTTTTTAACTACAGGCATCAAGAGTCATTAAAATATCTATAAATTTCAAGTTATTTTTCCTTCATGATGCAAGACAGGCTGTGGGGTTTGAGGTCCGTATGTCATGTAAAGTGTCATTGATATAAATTGTGTATTTTTATAAGAACTTACTGAACGAAGAAAAAAATAATTAATATAATCTAATGGATGAAAACTATTTGATTATTTAAGTTCAAATTCATATATATTCTCTCCTCAGGTCATCGTCAGAGGTCAACAAGCAAGATGAAGTGTTTGATAAGTTATCGAGGCAGGTAGTAGAGGCCATCGACAACCCTTGGTAGCCACAACAGCACTCCCGTCTCATATAGTTTACCACGGCATCGTTCAAGAGATCATTTACCTGACCTAAGTGTGAGTCTCGATGCACGAAGAAAAATAATTACCAGTGACTGTAAATTTAGTAAACAGCATTATCTTAACACAACATTAACTTAACAGGAGACAAACTTTCATTAGTGAAGAGAAATGAGAAATTGTTTTTGTGGCAGCAGTTGAGATTAGCCTTTATGGCTGACATTTTCCTCATATTACGATTTATTTTAAATTCTAGTATTAACTATGCTCATTAGGTAAGAAATTAGAAAAGTTTCAACTGACATTTATTAAAACGATCGTTCACATATCACAACAGTGAGAGTTTATATATATTACAAATTTTACCTTATATATTAAACTGTTAAACAGTTCGCTGACAAGACAATCCAGATCACCTGAAGCATCACCCCCCCCCCTCCTCCACAAACGCTACCGAGGGAGGGAGATTCTTTAGGAAATGCAAATATCCGTCGCAAAAAAAAAGTGAGAGACAAAAAATATGGACTAGCCATTAACTGAATCCTCAAGTACAAAAATAATGCAAAACACACAAAGATACTCAATACTGTGACCATTAAGTCATGTACAGTATTCATCCTGGTTATAAAGACTCCCACAGCTGAAAAACCATCCACAATACACTATGGATGTTGGCAGTACGGACATGGAAGCATCGAAAATTTAACCCATATTTTGTGCTCGTTTTCCCATTTCTTCGAAACCTGAATACACAAAGTGATACTAATGATGATATATATATATATATATATATATATATATATATATATATATATATATATATATATAAACAAAGGTGGTAAGATAAACAAGCTATATTGAGCCCAAAATGAAGCGTAATGGCTTCTATATTAAACAGTACAGTACATGTTGCTAGCTAACTGGTCCTACATACAAAGTCGGAGGTGTAAGAAATTAGAGGTAAATGTTAATATGTACTGCAATGTCAAATAAATTAGGTGTTATTTCTTGCAATATCTACCTATATACATGTTATTGTTATGGGGATCTACAAGGGTGTAAAAAGAGGTAGAGATACTTTGTACTTTTTGCATAAGTGAATAAAGTTTTTTGTATTTCAACTTTCTTTACTCAGGCTATTAGTTAGACTAACACATCCTACATAATTCTACACAAATTAATAACGATGAAAATATTTTAGGTTACCCATCAGTACTGACAAAAAGCATTAAATAATATATAAAATTCAAACACTGAAAATTAGTCACCTGGAGCCGCCAGTCAACTTAAGACGTTTTTTAATAACGTTATTTAGTTTACACAGAAGCCAGCAGGTCATCGTTAAACTAGTATAAACATTTGTCAGAACACCTCTTATCCAGGTTATATATACTGACCTTTACTCTCACCAGGATTTAAAGTCTATCATTTATCCCTAGGTTGGTAACTTTACTTACCAGATACCTATGTAAAGTTATTTTCAGAGCTGTTGATGGTGATTTAGGAGTGTAAGGTCTCTCAACATTAGGTGTCTGATGGGGCTGGGCAGGTTTATGGTCCCTTTGACGGAGTGGATGTAGAGGGAGACTCATGATTGTTTCTGTTCTCTCGCGGAGGCCATTAGTGTCGGAATTGTTTGAGTGTTAAGGAACCCCAATGATTGGTAAGAGTAACACATTGCTTTGGTTATTTAGACATATATAAATGAACTAAATTAGATAAATGATTAAAGGTAAGAATTAACACATACTAATATAAACTAAAAAGGAAATTATGTTTCTTTAATCTAAAAAGAATAATTTACAGGTGATATTGACTAATTACAGTATATGATCAATTCACATTTGTAAATTGATGCGTGTTAGTATAAAAGTATACCGTAGGAACACGATTATGTGGTGCCAAAGTATTATAATTTTTAATAAATGCTGGATATACGTTTAAGTGATGTCAACCAGTTTTATGTCCTGAGGTTTATTGTACGTGTCTTTAGATGAAATATTAAACACACTAGAAACGTCAACAATAGTGAATGTTGCTTGGGCCAAATTTCTGACATAAAAAAAAAACTACACATACTGCACACTACAGCGGACGACTGAGCACCTGGAAGCTAGGTTTCTAATTCTCGAGAGAAGGCATTACGTATGGCTCATGAGAGTATTATTATCAAAATGTTTCTTTCCCAAGTGCTCAGTGAGATAGCACCCACGCGTCACCGCTACAACAAGTACATACATAGATATTCAACACAGGATCTTAGTATAATTTGAACCATTACTTAAGGGAATAATTCCTTCAGATTATTCTGGAGTTTCATCCTAATCTAAAATCTTAAGGTACCCACATAAGGGAGTTTAACCCCTTTACCACTAGACGTCACTTAATATTTTATTTGGGTTACGCCAGTCGAGTTTACTAAGCACAGATATAGATCCTCGTACTCAAGGGGTTAAACAATCGTCCTCAAAATGCTGAACTATCGTCGTCAAAGAGTTCATCCCTTAGGGTAAAACCTTTCCCCAATTTCTTCGAAACTTAAAAAACTCATTGTACTTATGATACAACTCGTCATTAAAATTTGAGGTAGCTTGTTTTGAACGATGTGATTTATCGACCAGGAAGCTGATGTTAAATCCCAAATGGAATTCACAGCTTTTAAAGTATAACTCAAGGGGATACGAAACGATTGTAAATTCTTTAAATTATAATTTGGTCCTGGAAGATCCAGTGATTTGTAAACTTGACTAATTTTAAGTCATTATTTTCAGAGCGGTCTTTAATAGTGTTTACATCTATATTCTTGTTGTGCTATTCCTAATAGAATAATAGTGTTGGTATTAACAACGTGTAAGGGTGGACTTAACTATTTAATAATTATAACACAACACTGGTGTGACACACGGCAGCACTCCCACGACACACACACAGCTCACGGCAGGACTACACGCACAGCCCACGGCAGGACTCCCACAACACACACAGCCCACGGCAGGACTCCCACAACACACACAGCCCACGGCAGGACTCCCACAACACACACAGCCCACGGCAGGACTCCCACAACACACACAGCTCACGGCAGTACTACCACAGCACACACACAGCTCACGGAAGGACTCCCACAACACGCACAGCTCACGGCAGCAAGTGTTGACAGGGCCAGCCAGGAGTCTGACTGCCGGGGTCACGGGGTGATGGTTCGCTGCTGCTAGCTCACCTCCGTCGCACCACCTCGTAGTCCCGTCTCATTGGCCAGTCCCGTTATGACGCACTGTACGTTGATTGATGTCAGTAATTGCTGCTTGAACCAGCCAACGAGTCCTTAGCCAGCTGGTTCATAGACATGACATGACAATATGTTCCTTTCAACTGTCCTAACAAATAAGTAATTTATTAACCTTTGAAATATCTGCTCTATCATGGACTAGGCTTCGGAATTTATCCTAGAAGGACGTACAATTATCTTCTGACCTCTCTAAGTAGATACAGCGTTTCAAATCACTGCTAACTCACTCTCCTAAGATATCAGAATGAGTTACTTAAGCAATGTTGAGGATGTGAGGCTTCCATGACATATTAAAGGAAATGGTGAGGCTTAGCATATCTATTTTAGAATTTGGCAGAATGATTGTGTCCTGAAGTGGGATTGGTGAAAGATCATAAAATTTGGAAAGTGTAATTGGTAAATACTGTGTTTTATTACTATTAAATTTAACCAAGTTTCTACCTCCCCATTCGGAGATGCTGCACAGATCCGCATTGATAGATGAATTGATATCAGCTCTAGAAACAGGTCTAGTTTGAGAATTAGGGAGAAGGGAAAAATAAGAAGAGTGAAGAGTAGAATCATCAGCATAAGAATGGATAGAATTAGTCGTAGTGTGAAGTAAATCATTGATAAAAAAAAGAAGGAAGAGAGTAGGTGAAAGAAGAGAACCCTGTGTGACACCACTATTGGTAGAGAAAGATCGAGAGATCGATCCCTCGACAACAACTGCCATGAATCGGTTCTCAAGAAAGCTAGAAATTAGAGAACAAAGTGGGGGAGTGAAAACATAAGAAAGAAGTTTAGAAAGCAAAGACTTGTGCCATACCCTGTCAAATGCTTTAGAGATGTCGAGGGCCACGACGAAAGTTTCCCCATAATCCCTAAGAGATGATGACCAAAGATGGGAGCAGTAGGAGAGCAGATCACCAGTAGATCTCGCTTGGCGAAAGCAATACTGGTGATCCGACAAAAGAGAATGGCTTGATTCACCTTCTCACAATGGCCCGAGAACTTCGGCCCATTTATACACACCCAGGTCCTTTTCGCATTCGGTCACTATTCATGCAGTTTCATCGTCCCGTTGGGACATATGATACGCCTCCTTACCGTTGGTACGTCCCAAGTGCGTCCTCTTACACCTCGTGACATTGAATCTTAGCAGCCATTTCGTCGACCACTCCTGAAACTCACAGAGATCTTTTTGCGGCTCTTCACAACCTATTTGGTTCTTAATTTCCCTAATTAACTTGGCATATCTGCAAACATTTGTATGGGGGAGTGTATAGCTTTTGGCATGTCATTTATGAAACAAACAAACATCAATGGGCCCAATACACTGCCCTGTGGTACCACGCTTGTCACGGGTACGATTAATAACCACACACTGCTTGCGATTACACAGAAAGTCTCCGATTCACTCTAGACAACTTCCCCGAATTCCATACCTTTTCGCCAAGCTCAAATGCTCCTTCTTCAGGCTTGGTCGGTGTGACTACAGTCGATTCTTTCAACTGAAACAGAAGGAAAATGTGAAAAACATAATTAACAGGAGAAGAAAACCGAAGTTATGTTCTGTTAAATATCGTACTATACATCTTAATTACTGGACAGTGGTTCAGAAAGTAATTCATATTCCTGTTCACGACTTATACCGTGTGAGATACTGTGAATAGCATCTGGATCTTTGTCAAAATATGAAGTGTGCTCAACAGCCCATAAAACATGAAGCTAGAACTTATTTCTTGAGTCTGTCTGCTGCAGTAATAAAAGAGATCCGTTTTCTCTCGTGTGTTTCACATTACTCGTAACCTCATGTTGATATTTGTATATTTGAAAATACGAATAAATTGCGCTTCACCTTGCACAGGATGTAAGGGGGTGCCCAATAAACTAACCCCCGTGAGGGGCAAATTAAATAAATGCGCCTATGTTACTGTAAGATATGCATACCTGCTTACAGCTGAAACATTCAAGATCCATTGTGAGTGATGTTGAAAGCTTCAACTGTATTTACTTTTAGTAAAATTGTCAAACAAGTTCTTGTGTTAGAGCATACAATAGAGTGTAAGAATCCTATTTACCGCAATGCGAGACGCAGTTGAGTTCTATTCGCCACTGTAGTCAGACCGCTTTAATTCACAATCATCAGAGAATCTGATGATTTATTGAAATTAATAACAGTTTTGCATTTAAGAATGTCATTAATCATTTGAGAGAAACCTGTCAACCGCTCAAAGCTTGAAATGTTAATGGCCGGGCATCACTAGCCCCTTGTCCCTCTTTTGCTTCTTCAGCACAAAGTGCGAATGCCAGTGTACGCACTTTTTGCACTTTAATTATTGCATTACAAACTGAAACTCTGATTAGATTGTAAGCAATAGCCGTTAGAAATTTATCTGACCCACAAATCGGATTTTAATATCGCCCAATGTACAGGGTGTACAGTAATGAGTTAAATGAATGTGTACGAAAGTCTTGATGTCACGTCATGGCGAATATAACTATTGTCCGAGAGACGAGCAGCCAGTTCATTAATTCGCTCCTCATCGTCTCTCCGGTACCTAGTGCCTCACACCCGCCATATTAAGTGAATTTAACTCGGTTGAACTTTCTTGAATATATCAGTGTTCATGTTTTAAAATAGTTGAATGTCTTATGTGCCAAGTTATTAGTAAATTTTACTTTTTACTATACAAAAATGCCTGAGTACAGTCCTGCATTAAAGAAAAAGTATTGGTATTTTCTGGTAAAGGAGGATCAAGACCCCCAGGACCCCCTGGATCCGTCTTTGAAATGTCATTAGATAAGTTTTCTCCAGATCAGCATTTTGAATCCATACTAAATGCTTTTATTCAGAATATCGGTGTATTGATTCATAATATATTTTATAAAACTGCATTTACGACTATTAAAAATGTATACTAGGTACAATGTAACAAATTCATATATCTGAAGTGAGTGTGTGTGTGTGTGTGTGTGTGACAAATTATATTAGCATCATAAATCATGTTCAAATCTAAGGAAAATTCTTCAGTTATACGTATGATAGCATGCAAATTGTTTTGAATCTTAAGAATGATCAATTGATCAGGACTCTGTGATAGGCCTATAACATGCACATATAAGTGGAGAGCAGCTTACCTTGATAGAATAAGATAGCACAGCGAATATAAAGTAGGAACACAGAATCATATCCGCAACGCAGGCCAAACCGAAGAGAGTGTCGGCATCAACGAAGGCCATGACCATCGAGTAAATCTTGAGGAGCAATGTAAAACACTCTATCACCAACCACGGCGTCATCCATGCTGGCCGCTCCTGGAACCCGGAAGGTTAATCATAAAAGTCACGTCAAGTGTCAAGTCATGAGTGGTCACCTCACACACGTGTCAAGTCATGAGTGGTCACCTCACACACGTGTCAAGTCATGAGTGGATCATTCATTGAACGAATAGCTTCCTCTCTTATGAATACTGATGAAAAAGATGTGTTTAACCCCTCCCCTTTGTCCTGATCTGAGTACGTAACTACCACCTTCAAGTAGCAGATCTAATACGTCCACATGTGTCTTTAATTTCGACTTTGCGTAAAGGTATAAAGCTTGTAATCCGCATCTGTAACTGTTTTTCAGTCCTTCTACAGTCCGACTTTATTTTGTTCCTGAACCTTGTATGCATCTTGCTGACCTGCTCATCATTTATCTCGACCCACCTCTTGAATTTTTGAGATTTTTTTCTTACCCATGTCAACCTCCCCGTGATTCAAGTGTACCAATCTCCTTGTACGACTCACAACACAACAGACAGACACACACAACATACAAACGATATAAGAAAACCAGACACAAAACTCGGGTATCTTTTTCCTCTCTACCTTAACCAGAATATCAAAATATTTTCATCACTCACCTTTATGACACCAACGACGAGACTGATGCAAGACACAACACTGATGAACATAGGGATACATAATGCTAGCTGCCAGTCTACAAAAAGAAAATAAACCAATATTAGTAAGTATCGATGGACAATATAGATATATCAACATTATTCAAAAGAAATTATAGAAACACGAAGATTTAGTTACAGTCGAATAGTCTTTAAACTTAGAGCATTTGGAGGCTCTGAGAAGATGTTAAGGGCGTCTACTTGAGAAGATCAGTCACTTAAGAAAGGCGCCTATACTTTAGAGGTGAATCTGTTTAACAAGAATCTACACATCAATTTCTGGGTTACTTCTTTGTACCTCTATATAAAAAGACTCCCTCGGTATCATCACGTTAATCGACCTGGCTATTCAACAACATGTCCTACTTTAGACAACTGAGTTACAGAAAATAAGAGACAATTACATACCGTTTACTTTATCGAACTTTAGCAGAGTGAACCGGATGGATATTTCGAGGCATCGGGTTATCTGGGGAGAAACACATATGTAAACAAGAGACGAAAAAGACATTGATGACCGAATACAAATGGCACACACTGACACACACACACACACACACACGCACGCACGCACACTGACACACACACACACACACACACACACACACACACTCTAACATTCTACTTTTTTATCACTGAATTCTGTCAGATTTCTTTTGGTTCTTAAATTAGATTCTGTGATTAATTAAGTTCTTCTCTGTTGAAATGGTCGATTGTAATTAAAACTGTCGCATACCTTACTTCCTTAATTGTGATTATTACCTTTAGGTATTTCTCTCTAGCATATATATTGTATATTCCTGTAGCCCACAAAATTTCTGTCCATAAAGCTTTACACTAATCACTACTAGACTTTTACATCAAAGGGATAGGTGTTCTTGTTATAGCACTACTACACTCCATCAAACATTACTAAACTCAAAGTACTGGAGACTCTAGGCAGCTCGCCCCCACCAGAGTACTTCAGTGACATAACGCTTAGGTTAGGTTGAGAAGTTTGAGTAGCGGATTCTAGTGATTCTACGGCAAACTGTATTTACTATTGTCACCTAAGAACCTTGGCTTACAATATGAAGTCTTATTTTTTCAGGTGTACAATACGTTAAGGTTAAGGTCATTCAAAACCTACAACTCCCTTTTTCCCATTAAGTCATCTGTCTGTCTGTCTGTCTGTCTGTCTGTCTGTCTAATCTATCCATCCATCCATCCATCTATTCTTTAACCATTACCTTAATTCCAATCTGTCATTTGCTAACGTTACAAATACATACCATCCATAGGAGACCAATGAAGAGGGCACCAGTACTCAGGTCAAAGCAGCAACAGCACTTCGTCAACGCCCACTGGTCACGCATCTTGGCCTTCACCAACCAGGGAGAACTACAAACCCATTACTACACACAAGCAATGACATTAACAAAGTTTAAATAAACCAAGTGTACCAACGCGTTTGGGCGGAGCTTAATATGTGACGTCGTTGGAGTGGATACTGGTCACCCTACTGTACTAGATAGTCTTGCCATCTATCCTGAGTTTGTATTCCCCTAGTACACTATCTTTCAGTTAACCACTTGAACTTCTCATATATTTATAATGTTTATGATATTCCTATTATTATTATTAAAAATGTATTATTATTATTATTATTAACAATTCTCTTCCTCCTCTCTTTATTATTATTTACAATCTTGTGATTTTGCTGCCAGTATCAGTGTAAAATCAATTAAGTAATCATACGCAAATGAGCTAGTTATTTACTGGCGGGGGGAGGGGGGGGGGGCAGAAGGAATACACGAATTAAATAAAATAGTTAAAGAAAATAATAACAATTGTTAATGATTATAATTATCACCATCCTCTCTCTCCAAGCTATTACAGTAAATCAGTGAATACAAGCATATATGTGTTGAGGTTTTCAGTTTATCAATATGGCCACTAGATATATTCCAGATGACTAGGCTATACCTGTACAACAGTTTCAAGCAACAAATAGGTACTGGTCTCTACACATCCGGTTTCCTGGTCGAAAGTTACTTCAGGGAATTTAAATTTAAACCTGCAAATGGCTCTCAAGTATTGCCCTCCCTCCTGTTGCATCCCATATATTTGCTGCATGCACAATAAAATCCAACCTTTTCTCTGTTTTTCATCCTTGAAATGTAGCAACCAGTCGAGAAACAGAATGAGTCAATTACAATGTCACAAGGCCATTCAGTCATCATGGGAAACTAAAACTGTTCTATTAAAAACTTTCCTGCTCTTGAATTTCGTTTGTGTCTGTATCATTGTAAGGAGGAGTCAACTGCTCCCCTAATCAGATGATCGACATTAAGGAGAACATTTTGATTCTCAGGTTTGATCTCCACCAGTGCTGAGAATCCTTGTTCTGAAAGTTATATAGCGGCCAAGTGAACAAGAATGAACAAGACTTGATCTGACGGTGATCTGTAATCAGGAAAATCAACTCGAGGTATTCATAAGTTGCCAAAGTGCTGGTATTCGAGAGTTGTGCAAGTTAAAAAGTGACTCCATGACGTTCCCAGATGAGCCACTTTCATATACTCCGACACAAGTGGATTCATTGTCCATATGTCAACAAATCAGCTTCACCTACTGGGTAAAAGCTCTAGATGAATGAGGAAAAAGTCCTTCACCTTCCCGCTAAATAAGAAGTCTCATCCCTCCTACTGACTGTTCTAAAAGAAGTCGTTCAACTGGACCAAGTGGAAAAAATAAGTACGTCTCTCGGGAACAGTCATCGGCCTTCAATTTTGCATAAACACCCATCAATCCAGGTGCATTATCAGTCCTAAATGCACCTCACTGCTCCATTGCACCAGTATTGCACTCACCGAGGTCAATCGTATTTAAAAAATTTACCACACACCTTGATTTATAATATCATAATACTATTTAATTACTATACCTAACAACTATTAAATAAAAATATCATTATTCACATTAATCAATAAGCTTAAGCTTCTGTTTCCGAAATCAACTTTGAAATCTTATAAGTGGAGCTCACACACTACACCATTTTGACTTACGAAGTTTGAGGGTCTTTATATCATTCCCTGACAGTGAAAAATACTTTACAAACCTCACTCAAGTAATCATCTACCCCTTAGTGCATTATGTTAAAAACGCCTTACTTCCTTCTACCTTCCATGAATTATTATCAACCGAGTTCTTGAAATGCGAGATCACTGCCGCTGAGAACGGAATGGTTGTTTGGTTTTGTCTTTGGTAAGGGTGCGATGCTTTTCAATACCATTTAATTTTTCAGTCGATGTGTAATTACAAAAAAAAGTTGTATAGATAATCCCTGCTTCCACCTATTGGAGATTAGCTTGAACATGTTTTATTTTTTTACTCAACTATTACTTCTATTCATCATTCACTTCATCCTTCAACTCGTCAGTGTATCAACACATTAATTGATAAAAAATATACAAAACTTATATTAATTAAAGAAAGTTAATATATAAATAGGAAACAAATGCTTCAAAGATTTCCATTTATAATGTTACTTTAAAACAGGGGTTCTTAACCTGGGGTCCATGGAGGGGCTTCAGGGGGTCCGTGAAGGTCAGATAAAAATTTAACATTTATATTCAAGCCAAACAACAACAACCTTCACATTGAAATGAACTTTTGAGCAGAATTAAAGTTTTGTTTTGTTTATTTTGCAAAAGATCATTGTATTTCATTTCTGTATTGAGTGGCCATTAATTTTTGCATAAAAAAGTGTGAAACATAATTCTTTGCTAAGATTGTTTACTTTATTCATACTTTGTGTATGTCATACACTGTATGAGGCAATGAATTTTCAATAAAATAAAGTATATTCATTGCATGCAAAGTTGTGTGTATGTGCTTATGTGCATTTTTCTAGGGAGGGGGTCCATAGCTTTCACCAGATTCTCAAAGGGGTCCGTGACTCAAAAAAGGTTAAGAACCACTGCTTTAAAATGTTACTTACCGTATTCAAATTTAACGCTAGTCTCTTGTGTTCATAAATACTGTACTGTATATTACACCTTGCCCAATATACCATCACAGACCACAATACACCGCGACACACCACCAATTTTTCATTCTATTTATAACAATCATAATCTCTCAACAATGGAAAATTATTCTTTTCGCGCCTATATACAAAAAAATATCTATTATTTCTCATCTATACGTCTACCACTCATCCTATCATTCTCATTAACCTGTATGAGAAGCTCTGGTGTAGGATATGGATTATATTAGTTTGCCAACCTGTTTTTGGTATCCACAGTAACTTTTCGAACGCAGGAATTTCACCCTCGTCAGTAACCCCGTGAGAAAGAGCTAATATAAACTCCTGCTAAGAATGACACCCTTTATTTTCTGTACCACGTTACACAATACTGCTCAGGGATATGACAAGACACGGGGTAACACTCCAGGATACATCAAGGAACGCAATAACACTCTTGAACATCAGGAACACATATAACACTCTTAGAGAATCCATACTGTTCGCGTTTGGGTGTTGGTCTGTCGCGGGGTCGCCCAAGTCGCCCACTCGTCTAGCGAGCAGAAAGCCTTGCGGGCTGCGCAGTTCGATAATCAAACTGTTGACGCCAACCTCGTATTTTTTTTTGGGGGGGGGGCACAACTTAACAATATTAAAGTTGTTTCACTCCATCGTAATTCTGCCATTTTACTCAGATTTTCGATAAGGGATTAAACCTGGGTTTATCATGTCTGTCTCCACTTGTATACAGTAATTCCGGTGTCATAAAATTCACCAGAAGTTTTCACCACAAAGGCCACAATAATTGTAGGACGCCCGCGTTCTTCCTTAAGTGACGTAACAACAGAGGTGAGTTTCCCATAGGTATGTCCCTTCTCTCGGTACTGCATAGGACTCAGTACAGTAATGTTCTGGGAACTGGGTGAAGTAGAGACGTAATCGCACAAGATAGAAACAATAAAAGATATTTTTTGTGTGCGGTGGAAGCAGTTATGGGCAAAGAGAAGGAGCCCAGGCGAACACTGATTAGCCTCGAGTAAAACTTACTCACCCACCCAAGCGATGCTCTACTAGCGACGGGTGAACACTTCTAACTTGCGTAAAAACTAACTAAACCGGTGTAAACCTTTTAGCTTCATGAAAATTAACTAGCCACAGGCGAAAGGTTAGTGCCCCAAACAAAGAGTTAATACCCACAAGCGTTCATTTACTAGTCAGGATAATCAGTTACTAGCCTTGGCGATCAAATACTAGCCTGGGCGATCAGTTACTAGCCAGGACGATCAGTTAACAGCCTGGGTGACCAGTTCCTAGTTTATGGGAAAAGTTATCAGCCGAGAAAACTGTTCAAACTCAAACACAAATGCAGGTGATCTCATATTAGAAGAAGGTAGGAAAACTGGAGAAATAAATGTGCATTGCTCACACAAAAGAAAAAATGAAGAGCAGTAAGGTCAGACACTCCACGATCAAAAAGCTGTTCTCTCTCTCGGTGGTGAGCTTCAGTTGAGTGCGGCTCATCATCAGGTGGTGGATCTAGTTCAGGGAGAAGAATTTCAGGTTTTTAGTATCAGGAGGTCACCCATTAATCTGGTGAGAGGAGTATCTGTTTTGGGGAGTGTATTCCCTCTGGGGCGGGAGGGATGGGGGGTGAGAGGACACTTACCAGCAAGAGTAGTGGAGCCTTCTGGACCGGGATATCACTTATAGGTCGTACATGTCGGAGGCCGCCTTCGTACACTATCTATAAATACAAGATACAATCACACAAACACAGCTCCACGGACACACTCACCGGTAGTTAACTGGTTACAGTAATGACTGAGGAGGCCTGGAGTAGGAATGTCAATAGAGTCAAGAAATGTAGTCTAACTGGTGAGAAGGAACCGCGAGTGTCCAAAGAAGAAGGAACATAGGTAATCGGCCCCGACTTTGATAAGTAAAGAGTTATATCTCACTGACTAACTCATAACTGATTATTAACACTAGATAGCACTGAAGACGTTGCAGTACGATACTTTGGGTCTGGGATGTTCACAATCTTATCCGTGTGGAGGTGGTGGAGGAGACTGAACAAGTGTGTGGACTGCGGGGTCTTTGGGGACAGTAGCCAGGTACAGCTCTAGGTGAGTGGGGTAAACACTGTTATAGTGTTCTTTTATTGTTAATACTTCGGAGAAAATAGAAGAAATATTAATATTTTTTTTTAATTTCTAAGTTTAAAAGTATTAATGTGTAAAATTAGTTGCAATCATTCTTAAAACCTTAGGCATACGTATGGAAGAACAGCTCAGTGGCTCTTAGAAGTGATGGAGGATTGTGGTGACGATGTGTTGTTAAGATGATAAACAGAAGATTGCTGCAAAGTTAAATGAGGAGTAAGGAGTTTAAGAGATCATAGAGGCTTTTACTTTTATCCTCTTCGCCATTGATCGGCAAGTTGGCAAATACTGGGCTTGCACCGGCTCCTGAATATACCGGAACCTGCTCCAGTGTTGGTCAAGTCTGGCTGGCCTTGAATGAGCTCACACTTGGTGCCGTCACAACACTCTCTGGCGGGTTGTTCCTAGAGTTCACAATTCTTGTAGCCGCTCACGGCCAGACTGGGATGGGAGTGTGGGGTAATGTTAATTCGGTCATACCTGGAAATACATGACCCATTATCTGTTGTTTGTACCAAACACAACATATTTAGCTCACATCCACCAACAATAACAATCACGTGATTAACCTTCCAAGTTGGCTTGAGTCTGAATACAATAATACAATTGTTCAACAGTCATTTGTGACGAGTCTGTTGGTATAACGTGCGTGAGTACAATGGCAGACGATTAAGGGGTGAGTTATCACCGTAGACTGAACTCTGTGGTTTCCATAGACAATCACAGTATGTTTGAGTTAGGTCACTGATGCACAGTTGCTTGATAATAGAAGTCGTCTCCGGACAAAGTAATATATAACCTAGTCTGCTCACTGCACTACACAAACTGACCCTTGTAATGTTTACCACTAGTCCTTATCCGAGTGCTAATGGATGTGGCGTTGACGAAGCCACCTACTTCAATAACACTCCTCACTCTCTCGCTTCTCTCTCTCCATCTCTCTCCTCCGTTACCACACGAGATGCGGTAAGAGCTCTCACTCCGAAAAAGTTTGCCCTCACAGTTCTGGAACTTGCGGTATAGACACTCGACTGAGTAGTGCCCATTGAGATGTTTATACACCTCAATTAGGTCACCCCTTGCCCGTCTGTAGTATAAGCTAGGCAATTGCAGGCGCTCTAATATCTCATGGTAACTGAGGTGTCGAAGTGCCGGCACCAGTCTGGTGGCCCTCCTTTGGACATTTTCAATCAACTGACAGTCCCTAGCATATCTCGGGGACCAGACTCCAGGCGGGCAAGCACCTCACTCAAGATCGTTTCGAGGGACTTGTGTAAGCGAACATCGCTAAGGAGTATCATTCGTTAAGTATTAGGGACTATAATTCATTAAGTATTAGGGATTACAATTCGTTAAGTGTCAGAAAGTATCATTCGTTAAGTTCATTCAGGAAGAGTCAGGATTGTGTATGTAGATCTTCAACTATTTGTATAAACGCGAATCGATTCTGAAGCAAGATAATAAAATGGCACTATTACGTGCATACGACACTCAGAGCTCCACTAGTATACAGAATATCTTGAACTGCTCAGTATTTGGTCAGTCGTCTCTTGAAAGTCAGAACAAAATAATCTGATATGGCTCTCTCTCTCTCTCTCTCTCTCTCTCTCTCAAGTACTGCATAACCAACGAAATAAAAAAGCATTACATGGGTGCAGGAAGGACAGTACGCAGGCAAACATTATATCTCCACGTTCGTAACAAAACACACGAAGGAGTCGGTGAAGTGGTACCCCTATACATGAGAGTAGAGGTTGAGTGGGCTGGTGCACGCTGATAGGGGAAACACTCATCACATCAGACTCTTAGCGGTTCAAGAGCAACACTTTAAAATTAAGATTTCTATCTGTCTCTCGTAATTGAACGTATTTTTTTTTTCATATCTGGTAGACGTGTTCATAAGGACGGCAGACTCTCGATACTGGTGAATGACGTGCACTGGTGACCGGCCAGGAGACAACAAGTAGAGGTGTTGTAGTGTGTGTGTTATGAGGGAGATGAACAGAGCCTCTACAACAACTATGTCTGCCAGGTAGACACGCGTGAAGAACGCTGGTGTGCTCTATCAGTATTTAAAGATTCGAACGGGATATACTTATTCGGGTCATCGAAAAAAAAATCCTGTTTTTCTTGACAGAACTTTGTTTAAAAAAAACGTGTAAAGAAAGGTTGCTCGTAGAAAGCGTGTTGTTGTTGTAATTTTATTACTGCGCTTCAACAATTAAGGTCATTAAGCACGTAGCCTGGTTACCAATTACACCATTCCATCAAAAACTAAAAATTATGAGAGAGGGGCATAATTAAATTTACGAACACGCGTCTAGGACACAGTTATATGTACTGTATAAACACATTTGTGAAAGGCAAGTGCACGTGTAAGTATGGTGGTGGTATGAACAAGTGTGTGGTGTAAACAGAAGTTGAAATTTTACACAGAGAATCCCTGTTTTAAAAGTGAGTTATTTATCAAGAGGAGTCAAATATAAATTTAACGTGACTTGTACTCATCTTCGGAATGACTCTAATGTTTTTTTTTATCTCAAAAAGTTCTTGTTTTTATGTATAACTGCAAGAGCTTGACATTGCAAGAAGTAAAAGCATCAGCCCTAGAGTTGTTGTACATGGCGCTGACGTGTGGTGTTAGTTTTTCAGAGGGTGTCCGAGCAGAGTCTGTGGAGGATGTTGTGGACGCTGGACAAGGTGGTGCGGGTGATGTTCTGGGGAGGGGTGAGCGCCTTGCTGGCCACGTTGCTCAGCGCCTTGGGGGTCGTCTCCTGCCTGCTGGCCTTCATTACTCTCTGGCTCCTCACTGCTGCCTCCTACTTGTACAAGGCTGATATGAAGGTCAGTTCACTTCTGCTTCCCTACTCTGAGTACAGTAACCTACCACAAAAACGAACTTGAACGTTATCTGGTGACTTACGTAATTTGTCCTGATTTCTAAATGTGTGTGGGATGGGGTCATTCTGCAGCCCATGTCTAATAATATTATTTGTTCGCTGTCTGGAATTGTGGCATTAAGAGCGAATAACAATACACTTCAAACAGATTAAAATAAAATGAAGATCTAATATTGTTTATATCCCAGAACTTTTCAATGTTTTTATTTATATAAAAAGCCTTCCAAACTCGGTATTTCAGGTATCAGTGTCAGGGAAGTCGGTGGTAGTGACGGGCTGCGACACCGGCTTTGGCAACACCTTGGCACTCCACCTGGACAAACTGGTTAGTGGAACTCTTACTTAAAGCAGTGCAGGTTCTCAAGGTCGTTCCTAAAATACTCCAATTATGACTTCATTCTTGTAATCTTCTCAGTCTTACTCGTTTTCTAAATTTCACCTCAGTTGTATCCAGTACGGTACTTAAAAACGTGAAGGGCAAGTTATCTGTGTAGGTCTAATTTTATATTTACATTGGATTTGTGTTTGAAGGAACAATGATGCTACACACTCGCCTGCCTGGTAGCTTCCTATATGGATTATGCACTATCGTGACTATCCTCTGGTAGCATTCAAAGGTTGCCGTCAAAACGTCCACGTTCCCCTGTCCACAGCGTCCAAGATCTTAAGTGCGCGCCTGTAACTGTTGCTTGGCAGTCCTCAGCAATCCAGAGAAAGAACAAAAATCTTATCTGTTTTTATTTTGTTTATGATGGCGTTATCTAGCTTCTTAGATGACCAAAGTTACAACTGTAGATGACTTTGCAGAACAACTACATATTCTCTCAAGGTCACTGGAAGGCGACTATGTACCCATGACAACGGCAAGCGCACCAACCTTCGCCCTACTAAACTCTGTACTTGAACAATTCTTCTGATGTTACATGATGCACTTTGACATGAAGACGAATTGTTTCTGAGGCATAAGTTTTATTTCGTATGCACCAGAATGCATGTGTACAGTACATACACCACACATATTCCCGCGTCATTTAAAGCGCTCCGTGACCCTCACCTTACCTTGATCATTACGTGGATACAGTGCACGCACAATGTTGTTTGTGTTTAACTGGGCTTGTCGTGTCCATGCATATAATTTCCTGGTGTTGTTGTTGGTATTGGTGTGGAGGTACAGTCACCAGGTGAGCCGTGTCACCAGCCTCCTCCTCCTCCTCCCACAGGGGTTCCGGGTGTTCGCAGGTTGCCTGCATGCTGGAGGTGAGGGCGCCAACCACCTCCGTCGGGAGGGGTCCAGCCGCCTCCACGTCCTACAGATGGACGTCACCAACCAGGAGCAGCTCGACAAGGCTGCCCAAGAGGTCAAACACCTGCTGCCCGAAGGAGGTAAGAATGTTAAACACCTGCTGCCCGAGGGACATAAGAATGTTAAACTATCACCAAATTGAAAAAAAAAGATAAACCTAACCTAACCCCACGTTAGCTCCTACGTTGAGCGAGTCAATTTATATTTATGTTATTCTAATATAATCAGTAGATACTTTTCAACTTAAACATTAAATTTAAACAGAAGTTACAAAAATACGAAAAATATTTAATACTTAGATTTTAGATTATAAATAATTCTGTATGGACCGTCACTTTATAAACAAACGGTTAACATCAAAACTATCAGGTGAGTTTTTGTTCCCCATTTTTCTTTAGTGGTGAGTTTATGTAGAGTGAGTGTAGCCTGCCGGTGGTCGCGTGCTGCAATGGTTAAAACACGTCACACCGCAGGAATATGGGAGAAAAGTGTTGTGGGTCCTTTGGTACACATCGGACCTAAGATGACAATTTGTAATATTCCCCCTTCCTCCGTGCAGAGGGCTTGTGGGGCTTGGTGAACAATGCTGGTATTTGCACGTTGGGCCCCATCGAGTGGGTCTCCATGAAAGACTTCAGGAGGGATCCAGAGGTCAACGTGTTCGGCCTCATCGCCACCACCAAAACTTTCTTGCCACTTATCCGTCAAGGAAAAGGTTAGTTAAGATCAAAGGCGAGCGAAGGTAAAGGCTGAGATCAAGGGTGCTAGGATGGGGGGGATTTAATCTCAACTAGATGTCAGAGATAGAAATATTAGTAAGTTGGTGAGGAAGTGTGAGGTATGAGTGATGTTTGACGTATAAGGGACTTCATCTTTGTCTTGTGTTAATTATTCACGATATGCAGGTCGTGTTGTAAGTGTAGCCAGTGTGGCGGGCCGCCTTAGTTGCGCTGTTATGGCTCCCTACTGCGCCTCCAAGTACGCAGTAGAAGGTTTCAACGACGCCTTAAGGTGAGTTACTGTACTGTTTATCACTTATGCTCTCAATGAAAGAATTATAAAAAAAAATATCAACACTATTAAAACTGCACCAATAACCCGCAGCGAATAATGGGTAAATGGCGTAGAAAGTGTCTAATAATTTTATAAGTGTCTAATTTTATTCTATACTAAAGTACATGTCTTAAAACTATGTAAATCAAAATCTACTTTTGTGAACATAATGGAACACTTGTTTTTAGTGATAATTCCTGCATTCTTGAGCTGTTTTTAGGTGTACGGAGCTGCTGAGTAACTAACAGGGTCTCCTTCACCCCCGCCAGGCAGGAAATGCGTCAGTTTGGTGTGGCTGTGTGTCTCATCGAGCCTGGAAACTTTGGTGCTGGTAATGTATATGTCTTTCTCATGAGTCCAGCCATAACTACAGGAGTGGTGTATGTGTCACTGTAGAACTGTAGGTTTAATGTATTATCTTGGTCAATCACTGGCTAAACAAATTATTCTTAGAAGTTAGACCAACACTACAACTTTTAGAAACAGATCAAAATATATAGGACTCCGGAATTAAAAGTTGTATTGAGTTAATCATTTTTATTTAATTTGTCTCAGAGCCTAAAATAGGCTTGGATAAGGTGTACTTTGAATAATCTGGAGAATATATGGGAAAAGGAGGAAATCCCCCAAGCTCTTAAAAACGCATCCATCGTCAATATTTATAAGAACAAGGGAGATCAGTCAGACTGTGGCAACTATTGCGGGATCCCGCTGCTGTCCGTAGCTGGCAAGATTATCGCCCTAGTCTTCCTGAACAGACTTCTTCCCAAGGCAGAAAATTTCCTCCCAGAAACACAATGTGGCTTTAGACCATCACGTGGCACCACTGACATGATCTTTGTTGCCCGCCAGATACAGGAAAAGTGCAGATAACAGCGTCGTGACCTGTACATGGCCTCCATCGACTTTACCAAGGCCTTCGACTCGGTCAACAGGAAAGCCCTCTGGTGGACCCTCAGCCGTTTTGGCTGTTCACCAAAATTTATCGCCATTGTAAGAACTCTACGATGGCATGAACGGCAGTGTTCTGTACAACGACACCCAGTCTGAGTTTTCCCCATCCAAATGGAGGTAAAACAAGGATGTGTACTGATACCAACTCTCTCTTTCATTTTCTTGGCTGCCTTCCTTACTCGTGCCAGTGCCAATTTAGTCAGTGGGGTGGACATCCACTACCGGATGAAGGGACTTTTCAACATAAGACGACTCCAGTCAGGAACTAAGGTGTCTGCAGCTTCCATTACTGAACTTCAGTATGCAGACGACCCCAACCTCATCGCTCACACTGAATGCGATCTACAGGAAATCCTGACCACCTACGCAGATGTGTATGAACACTTTGGTCTTGAGGTGAATGTACGTAAGACTCAGATTCTCTTTCAGCCTGCCCCTGGTTCAATCACACCTCCACCATCCATCCAGCTTAATGGTGCTACCCTCTCTAATATTACCCACTTTCAATATCTCGGCTCCCACCTGTCCACCACAGCGGACATCCATGAAGAGATTCAACGTCGGATCAGACGTGCATCTCAAGCTTTTGGCATATTCCGTACCCATGTCTTCAGCTGTAGGGAGCTGAAATTATCTACAAAGTCGCACTTATATCGAGCAGTGGTCGTCCCCACCCTGCTATGCAGCGAGGCATGGGTCACACACAGGAGACACCATAAGGCATTTAAAAACTTTCACCAACGTAGTCTACGTTCCATCCTCCGAGTTCACTGGGAAGACACGAGAACAAATGCCAGTATTCTCGCTAACACCAACTGTAGGAGCATCGAGGCTACCATTATCCATGAACAATTAAGTTGGACTGGCCATGTTACCCGCATGGGCGACAGTAGACTGCCAAAGCAGCTACTTTACAGTCACCTAACGTGCAACAATCTGTGGACGACACTGCTGGTCCCGTAACGGCCTCTCGAGTCACCTCAGAGCTCACCAACGAAGGTGACATCCTTAATAACTCATATCAATGTATTATAGCTGGATGATCGTCATACTCGATTCCGAGTGACAGCAAAGTAGTAGTAGTAGTAGTAGTAGTAGTGGAGGCCATTTAAAAAAGAAAGAAAAAAGTAGTAGTTGTAGTAGTAGTAGTATGTGTGTGTGTACTAGCTCAATATGACTAAAAGTGTAACCCAGTAATAAAAGATTTACGGACCCGACAGGCACGTTGCTCTTCACTACAAACGACGCAGGGGACAGGCGGGTGCTGGAGGGAGTTAGTGAAGACCTCAAGAGGGACTACGGCGACGCCTACTTCAAGCGAGTGGAAAAATTTCTGAAATTCTTTCGCATGTCTGGGGTAAGTGAGGACACCTGTGCAGTCCATATGTTTGTAGGTGCAGTGAAGTGGGCAGTAAATTAATGTCAGTAGCAAATTTGCTGAAACAAAAAGAAACAATTAAGAATGAAAGTCTACCATTCAGTGATGAGTTAAACTGTTAAATGAAAAAAAAAAGAGATACCCAAAAATATGTAGGGGTCGCAGGGGGGTGATGGAGGAGGGTAGGGGTAAGGGGAGGGGGAGGGGGAGGGACTCTTTTTCTCCCTCTTCTTCCCTCCTCACCTCACACACCGGCAAACTGAAAAGGAGAAATAGAAAAGCCTAAGATAAGTGTGCCAGAGAGGTGTGAGGGGACGGGAGGTGTCTGGGCGCTATCCTTTATCCTCCTCACGTTCTCTCTCATAAGGGTGACATAGAGAACGATGTTTAGAAGGAACTTGGTCAGTGAGGTAGCCAACGTCAGGCCAAAAACACACAAAAAAGGGCATACTGAAGGTAATCCCACACACGAAGGTTGTTTTTGTGGGCAACGCTGCTGCTGTTGTTTCTCTTCATTAAAATAACAAGATAAATAAGAAAAAAGTGTCCACTGTGTCATAGAGTGGCTGTGGCGTTATCACCTTCACTCGTAATGTTGCCTCAAGCACGTTTAAGAAATACTGCCCAGCATCACCAATCCTCCATAGAATAACGTGGCAACATATTTACTATAGTATTCATATACATTGTTTTCGTAATTAATTTTGTAACTAACCATTGGCTATATTGTCCCACAGGCCAAAGACATCTCTCCAGTGATCAACGCCTTCACAGAGGCTCTGACGCAGACCCACCCTCAGGACCGCTACAACCCCATGACTCTCTGGTCATATTTCTTAATGTTCGTCAATACTCATCTTCCTGCGGCGTTCTACGACAAACTCACCAAATTTTAGAACTAAACTGATATTAGGAAAAAAATAAATAACTCAAACACCCCGTAGTAATAACACCATATAAGAACATAAGAACATAAGAATGGAGGAGACTGCAGCGGGCCTATTGGCCCATACTAGGCAGTCCCATTTACACCCAACCCCTATTGCTCATATAAGCATCCAGCCTATGTTTGAAGCTATTCAGTGTATTCGAGTTAATGATGATATTTGGTAACTTGTTCCACTTATCCACTGTTTCCAAACCAATGTTTACCTATTTCGCGCCTAAATCTAAATTTGTCTAGTTTAAAACCATTGTTACGAGTTTGCTCCTGGTTGGATAGTTTGAGTACCTTTGTAATGTCCCCTTTGTTTAGCTCTGACTTTCATTTATACACCTCTATCATGTCGCCCCTCGCTCTACGTCTCTCGAGGGAGTGCAAATTAAGGTGCTTTAACCTGTCTCTATACTCAAGGTTCCTAATGCCCGGGATTAGCCTTGTCATTCTCCTTTGAATTCTTTCCAAAGATTCTATATCAATTCTGTAATACGGTGACCAGAATTGAGCTGTGTAATCCAAGTGAGGTCTCACAAGCGCAAGATATAGTCATACGATGACCTCGCTAGTCTTGTAACTAACACTCCTTTGTATGAACCCAAGTACTTTATTAGCCTCGTTTCGAGCAAAAACACATTGTTTACTTGCCTTAAGATTCCTACTTATTATTACTCCTAAATCTCTCTCGCAGTCGGATTTCTCAATAACATCGTTGTTCATCTGGTATCTGGTTTCCCTGTTTACATCTGCTATATTGAGTACTTTACATTTGTCCACTTTGAATTTCATCTGCCATTTTTCAGACCATTCGATTTTTTTTTTAAATCTTCCTGTAGTTTTGCGGAGTCCTCGTCAGATTTAATTACATGTCCTATCCTAGTGTCATCAGCAAATTTACTTATGTTGCTGTCTATGCCGATATCTATGTGGTTTATGTACTGTATATAATAAATAATAATGGTCCAAGTATTGAGCCTTGGGGAACTCCACTAGTGACGTTGCTCCAATGGGATTTAGTGCCGTTAATGCTCACTCGCTGTTCGGACCCCAGTTCGGGGGGCACGCCACTCCGAAACTGACCACGTCCAAGAGTGGGGGTTGGTGGTAAGCGTCCACTGATCGGGGGTCCGCTCACACTTGCAACCTGCAGTATCCTTCCAATCTGCAGGTGGGACCACCTCCAATCCCAATCCGGTCTGGCTGCTCCTGGAGCTCCAGCCGGAACCACCAAACGGGCCGCCTATAGGCAAAGGCCCGTGTCGGAGTACGGTCCGACAATCTTAACAACAACAACAACTCGCTGTTTCCTGTCCTGTAACCACGCCCTAATCCATTTTAGAATGTCACCTTTAATGCCATGAGCCTCTACCTTTCTTATAAGTCTTTCGTGGGGGACTCTGTCGAAGGCTTTGCTAAAGTCGAGATATACTGGAGTGGATTTCTCCCCTACAAACGCTGTTTGTCGCGGATTAGCCGACCCCGCGAATTCCCCAGTGTATACCTCGTGGTCTAGGTCAACCAGCGCCGCCTTACATAGCGGAGGTCAACTACTAAGCCACGCTTACCCCCGCTATTTAAGACCTGACCTCGTGGTGACCTCTCTCTTCTTCTAGCTACAGCCGCAGCAAGCAACACCACCTCCTCCGCCGCTGCCTGGCGGCCCTCGCTCCTGCCGGCGAGCATGGCGACCCACAAGCTGGTCCTCCTCTGAGCATCCTCACCAACCAGCTCTCTCTACATCACGCTTGTAACCACGCTGCCACTTCCCAGCACCAAGCTGCATTGTACATCCAATACAACATGTATACAGAGAGCACATTGTGAGTTTCCTTTCTCCATCCCATCCTGAGTGAGAACCAAACCACCCGTACCCCACAATACCACATCATGATTGTGCCCCTCTTTCACTGATTCGAAAACTGATGAAAAGAATGTTAAGAAAATAAGGAGTCTGCAATAGGCCGGTTGGCCTGTGCATGGCAGCTCCTGTCGAGAGTCACTACCACTCTCCATCATCCATGAATCTATCTAGCCTCCTTTTGAAACTTTCCAGAGTTCCCGCACTTACTACAAAGTTGCTAAGCTTGTTCCACTCGTCCACCACCCTATTTGTGAACCAGTTTCTTCCTATCTCTCTCCTAAACCTAAACTTATCCAACTTGAATCCGTTGCTCCGAGTCCTATCCTGCTCGGATAATCCTATCCTGTTAATAGATTAGTTAGACATGAACGTCCGCTTGTGAAGCCATGCCGGGAATCATTGATCAACTTGTGCTTCTCCAGGTGATTTCGAATAGAGTTTGAAATGATTGCTTCCAATAATTTCCCTACTATTGATGTTAGACTGATTGGGCGGTAGTTAGAGGATAGTGATCTATCCCCTTTCTTGAAAATAGGTATTACATTCGCTATCCTCCAGGATTCTGGTACTACACCTGTTTTTAAGGACATGTTAAACAACTTTGCTAAGGGCATACTAAGCTCTTCCTTACATTCCTTTAATACTCTGGCAACTATCTCATCGGGACCAGGTGACTTATTAGTCTTTAGTTTGTCTATTTTCTTACTAACATCGTTACTAGTCTACAGTATATGCCAACAGCACTGAGATCTTTCGTCCGTACATGAACTTGATGCAAAAATAGTAAATATGATTTATTGTCCAGTATTAGATACCATTAAGTTAGAGAAAATGTACTGTACACCTCGTCAGTTCACAAGGCAGTGATACCAACACCCTTCCCTGTAGCACCTATAACACTGATGGTCAATATTTTTTTATTAAACCCATAAAGCAGATGAATCAATAATATATAAATAAAGAATAAAACACTGAAGACCATTAGTTAGTTTTGTTGAGGATGTGATTACCACTACAACTAAAGCGATTACAATTGTATGCTTATGTGATTCAGTTACTGTATTATATAATGAGGTGCAATAATAATAATAATAATAATGGGACCATAGGTTACAGTAGAAATATACAGTACTCTCGTTTCTCTGTGTTTTATCTTCTCCTACAGAGGGATTTTATGTTATGATGGATCTGGTATCACTACTGTATATAGTGTCCAAAAAGTCTAGTTCCGGCTTTCACAATAATCCTAACCAATGAAACCAATCCTAGAGAGATACAATGATATGGTTGTCTTCCTGCTTCACTATAAGAATTTTTTTCAGGTTTTAATCAGTGATCAGATGTTATTAACAGTCAGCTGAACATGCAGAATAAAGCTCATTGTGTCATCTGATTCCCGGAGTCGAAACCCAGTGGTATAATTGTTCAAAGGAATTGCCGCTGTTGGTATGACAGGACCCTCACCTCTCTACTCAACGTTAAGAGATGATTTCACATGTTTTGGGAGACAGGGAGCGTGGTTGACAGAAGACGTTGATAATGTCCCCGAATGGAATAAACTACGGCCATTTGGTGAGGTGCGCCTGCATTGTAGGGTATGTCAAGGATTGTTTACCGGACCGCAGTTGCTAAGAATTCGACACTTTGGTACAAGGATAACCGATGGCATCAGAAGAGTGACGAAGGTTATCAACTCGTGTACCGATGTGGAGTATTGGTTGTGCTACGGTCCGCTAAAAGTGCACATGTTGACGGCTACTGAAGACCACACGAAATTTATAACTGATGTCACAAAATACACACGCACACACACAAAATCGCACCACTACATTACTTTTGGTTTGGTTGTAATATATTACAAAGCCGAAAAAAGACTATGAACATCGTATATACTTAAACTTGAGGTAAGATTAAGTAACGGAACATAACGGTCGGGTTAATAACGTTGGCACGACTACCTGCTATCAAGTATCCAGTGCAGGACGACCCTTTAGTAGACTACAACAGCTTGGTTCCGTGAAGTTACGTTCTTCATATGGATGGAGTTCTCAATTCCTGTCATTTTCGTCATTATTCCCTTTACATTTGTCTTTACATACAAGTACTTAAATAAATATAAGTGCCTCACCACCAACCCTGCCGCTAGTAGCCTCCGAGGCCGAGTGGGTGACGCAGCGGTATTGCCGACACCAGAGCGCAATAATATGGCTCGCGTCTGATAATATGTAGTAAAGCCATAAGAGACACAGCTGTGGAGGTCAATGTTAGGACACGAGTTAACACACTGGTTCAGAAAACACTGAATTGTTGTATCACATATTGGACATATCGTTAAGGTTTACAATTCAACAGTATCTACCATAGCAAGAACAATTACATAACTCCTACAAAGTTGATACAATTCCATAAATATTATCGAGAATAATATATAAAGGTTTAACGTCAATAAAGATTGTCTTCCGAGTGTTTATGGAGGGTAAGGGATTAATTTCCCCAGCATCACTAGTTGTCTCCGTTCTAGTCTTGTGTAAAGTAAACAGTGAATATTCGCAGACATTTTCGAAGAAATATATCTTAAATCTTTTGTGTAAAACTCTCATCAAGTGTTTGACTGTCCGATGATGGGAAACATAAAGAGCATTATTGGGATAATCTTGTATACCATCCCTGGTCTACTTTAAGTGGTTCTCAGACGCATGAGCCGCTAAACAAGGAAAGGAAGGCGAAGTGTGACAACTTAGTTCAGACAACGAGGTGCAGCAGAGCACAGTGAGCGGTGGCCTCCCGACACGAGGGCCGTCCTGGATCCACATAGGGAAGTTCCCCTACACTAACTGTGGCGGGGAACAGCAACGTTCACTTATCCCCACCTCAACAATTGATGGTGTCTCGTAATCATGCTGTTTCTACCTATTCAATGTTGCATTTCATATTAGTCATGTAAGTAAATTAAATATAAGAGCCTTTAATGGAGAAGAGCAGCGAACACACCAGAAAGAGAGAGAAGAAAGCGAAAAGTTTTCACTATGGCGGGTTTAACAAATTCATTATACTAAACCTCTTGTCAGCATGTTTTGTGATAAAATTGTATATTCAAAATAAGGTGAAAGTAGCGTTACAGTTTTATTTAAGAAACTTTCCATACCCATATAACGTTAGAGACCAATAAAAATACAATTTGTGTACGCTTCTAACGGGGTTGATCAGGTAGGGAAATTTCACCAGCGGAGGGAGAGGTAGGCGAGGTGCGGGGGAGGTAAGGTCGCCGAGACAGTCAGTGAGGACCGGTCCGGGTGGTAACAACAGGTGAACGCGAGCGACTCCTTGGCTCACCTGTGCTCTAATAGGCAAGTGATATGATCTTGTAATTGGAACAAGTGTTTAACTTAAGGTGTCATCCCTACAGTGTTATTGAAATACGGTGTTACTGAATTTAATGAACGTAAATGACTATTTTTTTCGTATGACATTTCGTAGATGTCCGTGCAGGTGAGGAAGAGGTGCTTCCTGCGTGTGAGGTTTGCCATATAATGATCCTTTACGCGTGTAAGATGTTCATAGTATCCGGGAAAGTAATCCTTTACTTAGTGAGGTATAATATAAGAGGCGGGAAGTAATGACAATGTTAAGGGTCTGTGTTGCACGGAGGAGGAAGGGCTCGACGTAACTTTTCCTAGAATGCTCGTCATACTTTGCGTACTGGTAAACAACTTTCTATCTTGCACTTTCTTTAAATTTCACCCCGTCCAACTTTCACCCACGTGAAGCCTGTTTGCTGCTGTGTATCTCAATCTTTCCCACTGGAAGGTGTGTGAGCCGTGATCCAGTAGAAGTGGTGAGGAATGTTATTAAATTGTGTAGTTCTTTTAATATTTTTGTTCACGGGTTTTTTTTATATACGAGTCATGTATAAAACAAATTATTTTTGCGAAAATTGTTAAGATAATAGAATCACTGACCTGAACTAACGGGAACGACAACAATGAAGAAACTGAAAAATATAATGACAATTGAAATTTAGATACAGTTTCTATTTATTTTTTTATTATTGCATTTATTTGCCACCAACCGAGTCTCGGGAATTTTTATCTGTATACCAAACACTTTATATTACTCTACCATTAACTTCTATTTTATCATCACTATTTACAACTTTGCTCGTCAAACACTAGCACCCAGCCTTGTCTTACTCCCTTTCTAACCCTGAACTAATACCTAAGATCATTACTTACTATCACTGCAGCTTCCTGGTGACAACAAATAGTTATAAGGATTCTTGTATCTTTGTATATTTTTTTTCAAGACAATTATAAGTTTGTTGTGCATTACTGTATTATTATTTTTTTTTTTAATTTTCAGGAAACTTATTCTAATAATCAGAGTTTTTTGGTTCTCCTTTGTGGTAAATAATTATATGGTAGTGGAATAATTAATCCCGTTTATGCCCCGTAAATGGTTAGTAAGTGAATACAGGTACAGGAATACAGTCAAAAAGTTATTCCTATTGGGAAAAATTTTCAGCTGTGTTTTATGAATTACAGATCAAGCAAACGACAATACTATATTCTGGTGTAAATATGTACACAAATTTACACAGTGTATTATGAAATGCCACTTCAAGAGGGAGCAAGAATTCTTTCGCAAACTTGCACAGAAAAACCAACCACAGTGTAACAAGACAGTCAGACACACAGGTTAATGAGCACAGCCACAACACAGGCGTCCCCTCAGGAGGTGAAGGTGAAGTGAAAACTCGGCGGCTCGAGGTAACTGGTTGGAAGTGGATCTCGCAGCCTACGCCTGCTGCTACACTCTACTGCTCTACTTTGCTGATTTTCAAGTAATAATAACAACATAAAGAACCGCACAGCCAGACGTTCCACTCTGAAACGTTGACTGATAACAATATTAACGAGAAGATAGTCAATGAAAAGGAGCAGTTGATACAGTGGTTTCTAAAGCTAAGCTAATTTTGACAGTGAAATGTTTTAGCTAATTTCTGTATATCACTTTAATATAACACACAAATGCCAGTGGACCCAGCGAACCTTAATTGTTTTAGATAACATTTTTAATAATAAGGTTAAGTGAACCACTGTGACCAGAGAGAAATAATTTACACATTTAGGTGAAAAAATCTTGACCAAGTGAACAACGTCCCTGTGTGTATAACTGTAGGGAACAAGATGAACATATATCACCTTTGTGTCACCAGAGGAACACATATGACCAGGTGAATATATGTGACAGTTCAACAGGTGAACAAGTGTAAGACATACTGGGTGAGTACTGGTCAACACAATGGTTCCCTCAACTGCCGCCCACCGTCACCCACCCTCAACTACCGCCCACTGCGACCCTCCCTCTACTGCCGCCCACTGCGACCCTCTCTCTACTGCCGCCCACCGCCACCTTCCTCCTAATACCCGACACTTTCCTTTATCTCACTCTGAAAGTTGTAAACTGCTAAAATCACCTCATCTACTCGTTGTGAGGTTAGTCAGTGGCCGCCTCGAGGTAAAGTTGGTTCATCCGACTCCCGCTCGAGGGCGTTGATGATGTCTAGTTCCGTTTACTAGGAATCCCCAACCAACTTGAACTGTTGATACTAATAAGAGGTTGTATTATCAGAAGTAAAGGAGCTATGTCATAAGTAATAATTATTTTTTGTTTTTTATTGCGTAAAGAAACCAATTAATCGACATATTGTTGGTGTTTACTTGGACGGCAACGCTGGACTTTGCACCTGGTGGCGTGTAAGAGATGCTAATAGAAAATATAATGGTGTAAAATGAATAATACAAGTTATTTGTAAGTACTGTATATCGTGTGTACTGGCCACCACCAGATTAATTTACTGGCAGACTTCCCCTGGAATACACACGTCGCTGTTTTGTTTTCACCAGTCGTCTCTACAGGGCCGTTCTCTCAACTGTTAGACATGATCATATCCCACCTTTTCTTCAAGTGTCTAGCCGCACCACGTTTAAGGCCAGTCGTTTAACTTGTCCTGTACAAAGTTCTTGGCAACTACTATGGAAGTGTTTGGCGAGTACTTTCATTATATAATAGACATGTTTAGTCGAGAACTCCATTTGTACTCGAATATTCTTCTAGAATACGAGAACAGAAACTCGAGACAGCAAAGTTGTTTACATGTAATGATACACCCAGTACACGCAGTAACTTTGTACACCTGCTCACGAACCTGACTTGTTCAGGAAGTGCCCAAGCCAGGTTGACTTGCTGACTCTTGGATAATTAGAAGACTGTGTGTTTGAGGTCCCTCCACCACTGCACGTCGTCACGTGGTGAACACAATTTTTTATTAGATACCTATATATTGGGATGGCTGTGTGCAGATCGAGATTATCTTTTCTGAAAAACTTAACATATGTAAACAATCCCATAATCTTCCGACACAGTTTCCTCAACAACCTGGATTTACAAAGATCAAAACTTGGCCACTTTCTTGCGCTTTGTGCCCTTGTATAATGTGAACTTGTCGAAGAGAAAAACTGGCGTATAACCTGTCATAAGAAGTATAACCTGCTTCGGTACACCATGAAGTTTTTTCTTAAACTTTAAAATCCAATAAGATCTATTGTGAGATGACAGGTTTTTTGTTCCAACTCCTACTGCCGAGTTGTTTGCTTCCCAGTCACTTACTCACAGGTGATGAGGCTGGTTTAAACCTCTGCCCCCGCTCACGACATTGTTCTTGTAATTTAACTAGACTTGTACACCGCGAGCATTAGTCAACAGTTTCAACACCAAGCATTTGCTTTGGCTTGACCATTTTTTTTGTCATGGTGATGGATTAAAAATTCAGTAATGAAGAAACGAAGCTTGTGGATTACTGACCTTTTAGGCTAAAGTAAACAACCGTGCAAGAGGGAGATGTTGTGGGGTGCTACGGTACTGTGGTGAGGAAGGTTGGTTCAACTTCTCCACGAGGGAAACGATTAAATTACTGTTCTTTTTTATAACAACAACGGAGTTACCTGAATTCGCCCGGGTGGAGGTACATTATACGGCTAGTCTCTAAGCCACCCGCACCTCCCCTACCAAATTTCACCCGTCTATCTTCAAGACTGTGAAAATGTATAAGGAGTGAATGTAAGGGGCGAGAAAGCACCAGGTAGTAACAATCTCTCTCTCTCTCTCCCTCATACTGGTTTTTCTTTTCAACTTGCATGAGTCATACGCTGCTGACCGCTGGGGCGTCGTGTAAAAAATATTCTACAAAAACTCCCGTTGGATCCAAGGAGTTTTGTGCTCCTCGCGAATTATTCTTTATGTACGCTATTTATCGACGGTTTTCATGATTGCTGAAAAAATTGGAAGGAAAAACTAATATAATCATGAATTACTGGGGTTATCGATGTGCTTCTCTCTTAAATCAGTAAGTTATGAAGTTTAACATCTAATCAATAAAACTGTTCTCTTTAATTTTCCATATAACAGTACATGATTATATAAAGTTCAAAGTATATGACAAACAAAATCTCATCTGTGACTTGATTTAAGCAGCATGGTGATTAAATTTTACCCCTTCAATTTCAAGGTATTGTGTGGTCGAAAATTGGTGAGATAATTATAAACTGATTTTGAGTATTAGTTGTGGGAGCACAGTACATCACGTCTATTGTAGCTGCCGTGTGGTGTTAGTTTTTCAGAGGGTGTCCGAGCAGAGTCTGTGGAGGATGTTGTGGACGCTGGACAAGGTGGTGCGGGTGATGTTCTGGGGAGGGGTGAGCGCCTTGCTGGCCACGTTGCTCAGCGCCTTGGGGGTCGTCTCCTGCCTGCTGGCCTTCATTACTCTCTGGCTCCTCACTGCTGCCTCCTACTTGTACACCGCTGATATGAAGGTCAGTTCACTTCTGCATCCCATTATCGCTCCTCACACAAGTAAGAAATGTAGGGATAATCTTTTGTAGTTTAAATTATCTTTACCAATTAAACGTTAACGTTGAGAATGAGACGAATGTAGTTGATTCCAAACACTACTTTAATTTTAATCATAATTGTTTTGAAGTTCTTGGAGTGCAGCTTACCCTCTGAACTCATCTGTCAGTGAACACAAAATTATAAAGTATATACTGTAGGTGTTAGTATACTGTAGATATAATTGATAAGATAAATATTTAACTTTTTTTAATTGCTATAGTCTGAAGACAGAGGATTGTGGAGGATAATTAAGAGTTTTTGTGAACCTGAAAAACCTGTTACTGCAGTTACCAGTGTCAGGGAAGTCGGTGGTAGTGACGGGCTGCGACACCGGCTTTGGCAACACCTTGGCACTCCACCTGGACAAACTGGTTAGTGGAACTCTCTCCTAGAGCAGCTCAGGCTTTCCTGGCCATTGCCAAATTGCTTGAATCAAAGTTCACCTGTAATTCAACGTTTTCACTTTTTTGTCCTCTTCTCTTCCTTCACCTTGACTCACCGCTAAGTTGTTTACATCAAAGTGAACTATATATTTCTCTAATTAGTGATTTAAGTGAGTTAAATGAGTAAGTTTACCAAGAAATATTGCCAAAAATGTAGGAACCAACCGGAATGTATTATAACTTCTATGGTTGTCTTCAGTCACTCTGGCCTGGCGGAGTTGTATAACGTTGGGTCAGTGTCTTGGTGTAGGTGTCAGGCACTACTGTAGTGTAGTGTCACCCAAGTTATTTTACCCCACAACTATTGGCAATTTATTTATGTTTTGGTAGTATCAAAAAATTAAGAGGATGAATTTGAATATGCTGTGTGTGTGTGTGTGTGTGTGTGTGTGTGTGTGTGTGTGTGTGTGTGTGTGTGTGTGTGTGTGTTTTGAGACCAAAAGAGCAGGAACAACAGATCATGAGGCCTTCAACGTGAAAGATGAACCTCAAAGGTCATGTGAACAGCCATCCAATTGTTTCTGGTAAGACTAATAAACAAACAACATCAGGATGTGATGAGGAGTAAACAAGACAAGAAAGGAAGATTATAAAAAGCACAGTGAAGAAATGTGACGAAGAATGTGTTATGGTGGACAAAGATGGTCATTATGTGGGTGATCTTACAGCGCAATTATACAGATAAAACTTTGAGAAATAAATTCAAAACATACCCATACGACTAAGTCCCAATTGTATGGTTTGAAATTCAGAGAAAAATTAAAGAAATCCCCATAGGTATGACTGCCTGTTAGTGATGGTGCGGATAAGGCACTCTGTTTATAACCTGCGGTACGAAGGAGGTAGTGTAGCCGGAACTGTAATAACCGTCTTCATTTCCCAGTTTGTAAAATTAGGTACCCATTTACAGCTGGGTAGACTGGGAGCGCCCTGGGATCGAGCCAGTGATAGGAAGAGAGCGTTAAGTTATCATAACTGCTGTTATATTTTAATTTTACCCCCCGACTGTACACTATGACACGCTAGTACACACGTAAGCCAACACGGTATTATTGTTAATGATCTACATCATCACTCTTCTATCTGACCACTTGGAAGTAATGACAAAGTCTGTTTTAGTGTCCGGAATTGCTCATTTTAACTCCTACACATACTGCTGCTAGTCTCAGTTGGATCAATGTTTTCCCCCTCAGCGGCGCGGCGCCAACGTCACTCTAGATCTAGCCGGATTTCCTTATCACTCAATGTTCAGCAGGGGACACATCCCTAGATCAAGGGTTATTATCACAAACTATATACAGTATAATATGTACTGGGACTTAATGTACTGAGAAATCTAGAGAAAGTTAATTTGTCGAGTCCTCTTACATTCTTAGCTGTTGAGCTTCTCCTGGGGAAAGATAGTTTCAATTTAAATTAAGTTTTTACATGTCTTACTTTGTTACTCTAGGCCAGATAACTATGGCACTAACTCCTCTCAGATGACCATTTATGTTCTCTACACCATCAAGCAGTTTATGGCAGGATGAGATGCACCGATTTTCCAGAGCAGGCGAACCTGATACTGATTTACCTAAAGGGATGTTTCTTCAATAGGCCTACACCTACACCAGGCAGAGGATAACGTGCTGGTGGTGTAGGTGTGGAGGTACAGGTGAGAGCATCAGTCACCAGGTGAACCGTGTCACTAGCCTCCTCCTCCTCCTCCCACAGGGGTTCCGGGTGTTCGCATGTTGCCTGCATGCTGGAGGTGAGGGCGCCAACCGCCTCCGTCGGGAGGGGTCCAGCCGCCTCCACGTCTTACAGATGGACGTCACCAACCAGGAGCAGCTCGACAAGGCTGCCCAAGAGGTCAAACACCTGCTGCCCGAAGGAGGTAAGAATGTTAAACACCTGCTGCCCGAGGGAGGTAAGAATGTTAAACACCTGCTGCCCGAGGGACGTAAGATTGTTAAACACCTGCTGCCCGAGGAAGGTAAAAATGTTAAACACCTGCTGCCCGAGGGAGGTAAGAATGTTATACACCTGCTGCTCAAGGGAGGTAAGAATGCTAAACACCTGCTGCCCGAGGGAGGTAAGAATGCTAAACACCTGCTGCCCGAGGGAGGTAAGAATGTTAAACTTTTGCTGCCCGAAGGAGGTAAGAATGCTAAACACCTGTTGCCCGAGGAAGGTAAAAATGCTAAACACCTGCTGCCCGAGGGACGTAAGAATGTTAAACACCTGCTGCCCGAGGAAGGTAAAAATGCTAAACACATGCTGCCCGAGGGAGGTAAGAATGTTATACACCTGCTGCCCGAGGGAGGTAAGAATGCTAAACACCTGCTGCCCGAGGGAGGCAAGAATATTAAACACCTGCTGCCCGAGGAAGGTAAGAATGCTAAACACCTACTGCCTGAGGGATGTAAGAATGTTAACCACTTGCTGCGTGAAGGAAGTCTTACTAATACTTGAGTATTTACTCCAGCATCGAGTTCTTTGTTTTCCTCTTTTGGGAAGCAGAAGGTAACAAGCAGAAGGTAGGCCAAAATAACAGAATTAATGTAAGGATGAGTATGGTAATATGGAATCACTGAAAAGACACTGGTGGTTGATGGAATATGGCAGCTTACATGTTCTTCACGAGCCTTAATTTTTACAGCTAATTTCAGCTCTATATTACAAAACACGTTACATAACTTCGAAAGGGCAATTGAAAACTTAAAATAAACTAATTTTTTGGTTTGTTTTGAGCCATACTCACAAGTATTGTTTTTCAAAATCGATGACTATAGTATCCCCTGTTAACTTAGCTAAAGCAACCTTGTGTTATTGTAATATGATAGGAACTGATTTTGTACATCTTCTTCGCTAATCCAGACGTCGTGTGGGGACTGGTGAACAACGCAGGTCTCTGTACATTGGGCCCCGTGGAATGGATGTCAATGGAGAGTTTCAGAAAAGATCCAGAGGTCAACGTGTTTGGTCTCATCGCCACCACCAAGACCTTCTTACCACTCATCCGTCAAGCAAAAGGTGAGTCAAGGTCAGAGGTCAACCAAGGTCATGACCTTAGTAGTCACCTGACAACACCTGCAGGAGCTTCATTAAGGGACAACTAGATACACCCAGGTACAACTAGCTATTCTCAGACATAACAAGCTATAATTATATCAAAGTACAATAGGTGAATTTATTTCCTAGAGTATATATGCGTAGTTCAGAATTGGGTTTTCGTAGTGACTGTTCCGCGAATATTTTTACTCAATGGTTGTGTTTCCGTCATCACTTTCCGCCATGATTCGGGTTTTAGATGACGAAACCGATTCTAGTAGTTTATTCTTTTGATGATAATTTTAGTTGTTACTGCACCCTGGCTAGTGAGTATTACCCCTTCATGTTGTGCAGGTCGTGTGGTGAATGTGGCCAGCGTAGCGGGGAGGATGAGTGCTGGGTTCATGGGTCCTTACTGTGTCTCCAAGTACGCCGTAGAAGGCTTTAGTGACGCTCTACGGTGAGTACAGTGTGTCTCCAGTGTCTCTGCATGATGTAAAAATATATACGTAAAACATGACATAATTGTTTCTTGTATTTATATTTATGTTTTTATCTAGAATCGAACACAGACATCTGTCCTATCTAATGCCTTTCCTCTTCCACAAACATAAACATTTGCTCCAGCTATTTTACAAGTTCTCATGCTATAAATCAAAGATTGATCCGGGACATCCTCCCATTTAATAGCTGAGCGGCGACAAGGTAGCCTGGAACCTGGAAACTTTAGTGTGACCATCAAGTAAAGGCGTGGTTGTGCAAGCTGCTGTTAGTATCAAGACTCAGTGAGCTTTTAGCCTCACATGGTAAACACTGCCTCCCCGAACCTCCTCTAAAGGCTATTATTCTAACGGGAGAGTTGTACTAATAGCTTAGCGAGTGCCAGCTGTCGCTCTTGTGTGTTATCCCGGGTTACATTCCGTAAACTTACCGAGTAATACATAAGTCTCCTTGACCCATGCTCCTTGGGATTAAAATGAGATACCCAAGAGCAAGTTTTGATAATTATATACCACATTGTATAACCTTAACACACAGAGGTATTATAATGCAGATTCAAGTTAATTCACTTAATACACATTCATACAGTGAACTGACCTAAAAACTCGTTAATGTGTTCAGTGTCTAACAAGGTGTTGTGTCCCCATGCAGGCAGGAGATGAGGCCTTTTGGTGTGGACGTCTGCATCCTCGAGCCTGGCAACTTCGCTAATGGTAATATTAATGTCGTGTGTGTGTGTGTGTGTGTGTGTGTCTACAGTACCTTAAATGATATTGAATCTTCATATCTAGAAGAAAATGTGGGTATAAATATGTGGTTTTTACCTTCCCAATACAACAGGAGATATGTGAAATACAGGATGCACCAGTATGTGTAAATCTGTGGTCGCCAACCCTCAGATATGGGAGCGATACTTCGATTGATTGATATAACACCTAAAAAATAACCTTGAAATATGGCATGTATTTATTTTGACATGTATGTTATTGTAATATGGTTGTGAGGTGTAGTTGCCTTCTGAAGTTTGACTGAAAACCACAGTTTGCCATGTTATTACCCTTTGTTTCCAGATGTTATTTTAAGAATGTCTCAACTTACTGGCTTCTATCTAAAACAGACGCCGTGTCATTACAGAGTATGCAATATCCCTTTCCTTCTTAGAAATTATTGCTAAAACTTATTTATCTTACTTTCTACATCCTTCCACGTACAGTAATATTGATTTCTTGACAACATCTCAATCGATTTCCCGTTTGGTTTGTGACTTCGCTATAAACAGATTCAAGCTGTACGATGGACTTGGACAAAAGGCATGACTTGCACTTTCTCGTAACTCTCTTAACTCCTGAGCCAGGATGGTAACAAATACTTTATTTTTTCTTCGAAAATATTCTTGTTACGAAGAAAACGTCTCGCTCACTTGTCAGCAAGTAACATATGCCCAGTTTAGTTTGAAGTTACATTGTTTTGTATTACGAATCCATTTTACAACATGAAAACATTATTGTTATCTTTGTAAAATTAAATGTTATATGTGTAATTTCAATACCATGACACCGGCAGGAACATTCCTGTTCGCCACGGACGAGATGGTGGAGCGAGAGGTGGAGGGCGTGTGGTCGTCCCTCAGTGAACAGGTCAAGATTGACTATGGACAGCGGTACTGCAAAAAGGTGGAAGGTTTTAAGAAAAACTTCCGCAGGAAAGGGGTGAGTGAACGTCAAATTATTAAGAATGTTAATTTGTTTGTTTTTAATTTATTTTCGTTATAGTTAAGACGTGTAGCCAAGGGGCCAATGGTAAGGATACAAATATAAGTCCTACAGCTTACTTAAGGCTGTCCCTCTGGCTCAGCGACGACGATAATAAATCGTTTTTAATGGCCTGCACTAGGAAATATATATGTGTGAGACTTCGCCCCGGGGGTTACAGAGAAATGCCAGAGAGCTTCGATTTATCGAAGCCTGCCTCGGGGTTTGCCCCCAAAAGAATTTACCCTTTCTAGAATTAAAACCCACAAAGCAGTAGGGGTGGGGGTGCAGTGGTTACTAGGCGTCAGGACGTGTTCAGTACCGGTTGGCCTACACGCCGCACCTCTCAAACACACCTCTGGGTTCGCTGCCGCAAGACACCCAGTACCCGGTAGTTGCTTAGAAAAATTGTTGTTCGATGCAAGCTTAGTAAAATGTGACACCCCTAAAAATTACATCGAAAAATACTTTAATGTTCTTGAAACACAAAGCCCGAGGTGTGAGGACGTTACTTAGGCATGGGTGTGAGGACGCTCCACACATCTAAAACAGGAGAGACTCAACTCACAGAAAATTTCAAGATCAAATGGTTCTCTGCCCAAAAAGACCTTAATCCTAATCGCCCCTGAGGCACTACGGTCCTCAGCATTACGGCTGGAGACCATGAAAATTGGGATCCATTGGTATTAGTACTTACTCGAATTAGGACTCGTTATTACTAAGGAGGCTAGGTTGTTACTAGTTATGGTTGAGACCTTATTGACGAATCAACAGATGATAGAGAGGACATGACGTTTCCAAAACACGAAGCCGATTAGCTAATACCCAGTAAAGCGGGATAATGAAACCATAACAGCGTGGTGAGGGTCATTTTATCTCAGTGTGGCAAGGACTTTCCAGGAGAGATACGGATGCCTCTAAAACAGGTGAGTGTGATCACTGTACCCACTTGAAAGGAAGAGGTGAGGCTCTGACGGGAAGAAGGTGGGAAGGGGAGGACTCCGATACCCCCATAGCCTGCATGAGGGAAGGGGAGACTTTCATATAGACAGCGACGGGACCACAGACGACCACAAAGACGGTGTATGGATAAGGAGTGGGTCCGACGTCCGCGTGAACGAGTGGGGGCATCACGTTGACTCATTGATAGGGAGGGACACCGACGTCCTCAAAGATGGAGGGAAAAGCGTAACGTTCCTTTAAAACTGTTGTGGGATGCAAAGGACTCCAGACTTAACTGACGAATAAAACGATAATCAATGAATATGATAACTTGGACGTACCTGTGATGTGGTGTGCTAATGTCCCTCGAAGAGCTGTTTTAACTCACACTTACCTGCAAAAAGAAAAAAAGAATCCACATGAGACAACCTGCCGCCTATCACACACACACACACACACCTATATGATTTACACTTAATCTTAAAGGAACAACTAAGGCAGAACCAAAGATCTTAAGCATTAGTTCATGCCAAACGGATGACTTAAAGAACTAGTTCAATATGTCAAGAACACAACAGTAATATTATTAATAGTTACCTTGTGCTGGTGGTAGCAGAAGCCCTGGCGTCTTATCGGATCGTCACCTGGCACCGCCTTGACACTTTTATGACACCTCATGTCACTTGACACATTGCTGTATTTCATTACACACTTTGCACCTTGCATTAGTTCAAGATATTTTGCAACACTTTACAATACTTTGCGAAACTTTAAAGCATTAATGACACTCTATTGACCATTACGATATCGATGACACTTTCCGACACCGTCTGACACTATTTTATGTTGTTTGGACACTTTATAACTATTTGAAACTTTGACACTTTATACCACTTTGTCACTTTAGGACATCATGACACTTTAGAACACATTAGGCCACTAACACTTTAGGATACTTCACGACACTTAGGACATTTTAACACTTTAGGACACCATGACACTTTAAGACACTTGGACACTTTAACACTTTAGGACACTTTAACACTTTACGACACTTCATGACATTTAAGGGCACTTTGACACCTTAGGAAACTTTATGACACCTCTGACACTTCAAAGCACCTTTTTCATTGTGCACCACATCTCATGACATTATACGACACTTACTAGGCTTAATGACACTTTATCAGACCTACTGGCACTTAAAAGCACTTAATTAAATTTTGGATATTACATAAATCATTGTGACATAACGTGACACTTATAGCACTTTATGACACTTTATACCTCTCTTATGACACGTTTGGGTGTTTTTGGCGTCCACAATTACTTTATGACACTTATAATTCTTCATGATACAAACGCTTCACAACACTAATAAAAATTCATAACACAAACACTTTACAAATCTTATAAACACTTTACGCTACTTACGAACACGTTATGGTACATGTGATAACTTCGCAATACTTATGAAAACTTTACGGCACTTAAAAACACTTTTGAAGCTTAAGATAACCTTAAAACATTTATAACTACTTTACGGACAATTATAAAAACCTTGTAACATTTGCAAACACTTCATGACATTTACAAACACTTTACGATACTGTGCAGACCTCGTCAATTTCAGTCTCTTCACCGGCTATTTGTTTGTCTATAAGCCTTCGTGTTCGTCCTTCCCGACGCTAAGGCAGAGACAGCACTGACTGAGTGACTGAGTCGTCTTGTCTTGTTAAGAGGCCTCTGTTGACATTCTCGTTAATCCGAAGCCGCGAAACGAGGCGGATTCAAGGCTAAGCGAACCGGCCAAGCCTCGTCTCAGTGATATATTCAAACGTGTTTGTAACTAAAACAAATGCATGGCTAGGTTTTGGAAAGGTAATTCTTTTTTAATTTATTTATAAATGCTAATATGTTTTGGGGTGCGCCTTGACTTTACACCTTGGCTGACCACCTATTAATCGCCTGGTTGGTGTGTTTCTGGAGGTGAGGGGAGGGATGAACCCAGTGAAGTTCCTCTGCTGCAGCTCTAGTAGTACAAGTTGTTTCTTCTCTTGTTTTTTCATTCTTAACAAATGACCAACTAATCGTCTGTACTGACCCAGTACTGGCAGCAGGTGACGAAGAACCTGATCTTCCTCATTTATACAATAAATTTCACTTGTCAATCTTCATGAAAGTCCTTAGACATGTTGATATTTTCCGTCCGTGAAGACTCGGAGAATTAATATTTCATCTTAGGTTTATTTTGTCCCACAGGCCAAGGACATCACTCCAGTGATCAACGCCATCACAGAGGCGCTGACACAGACCCACCCGCAGGACCGCTACCTCCCCATGGACCTCCTTATGTATTTTGTAGCCTTCGTCAGTACTCACCTCCCAGCATGGATCTACGACGCCCTCGTCAGGCTTCTCGCTATATTGTTATTGAAGAAAGATGAGGTATAATTTATAATCTGTCCAAGTTATAACGTGAACATGATGAGGGCTTCTGTACGCCACCAGACACACTCACCTCTTCAGTTGATGAAGTCAAATGTAGATTTTACTGAGAAATTGTTTAGTATAATCCTGGAGAGAAGATTACAGCTAACTACAAACTCTTTTATGTCATCATTTACATATTTAAACTACACTAAAAAGAAATGTCACAATTATCCATCAGTAATCTAATTTACACGTGTTTTATGTGGATTAATTCGATTAGTTACGCTTGTCACTTTATGACCAGCGGAAACGTGGAGTGTCCACAAGTGTTCGTCGGGGCACTAATGAGGACCACGCGCCTTATCTTTAGTTTTTAGCGGACCCTGTTTAGCGGATAACTCACATTGGTTAATGGGCTTAAATCCGTTATTGTTGTCTATTATTGGGAACCATCATACCCGTTATCATTGTGTTCACTTGGTCCGGCATATCTCAACTAGGAACCATGTGAGGAAAAATTTATGTCCCATGTCTCTAGTTCCAGTAGTAGCGTGAAGGTGAGTGAGGTGTGTTGGCCGAGCATGCTGTTATGTGTCACTCACTGATTAGTTCATGTGGAAGTGAGTGGTTGGAGTGTCTTCCATTAAGTTCTCTGCCCTGCCTTGCCCTACCCTACCCAGCCCTGCCTTGCCCTGCCCTACCCTACCCAGCCCTGCCCTACTCAGCCCTTCCCTACCCAGCCCAGCCCTGCCCTGCCCTGCCCAGCCCTGTCCTGCCCTGTCCTGCCCTGCCTTGTATTTGATTTTGGATTTTGTCAGGAGGAGACTTAAATGTGAAAATCTAATGCGCATTTCCTATAATATTTACAAAACAATAGTGCCAACCAGCGCAGAACATGTTGTGCTGTGGAGTGTTGTGGCATCGCCAAACAATGACTAACAATGCCAAAAAAGAAAGGGTCGGTTGTTAAGGTTATAAACGCAAAGCTACCGACCCTGGAAGTACAGTACATTAGCTGCTCACTCCACCTGATGACCACAACCTACATTAAAGTAACAGATAGATTTTAAACTGTAAGTATTGAACGATCGTCCACCATGACAGTATTCACCCCCCGTTGTGTTTCATGGTAGATAAGTTAGTGCGGCTCAGAGCTCTAAAGTTTGTGTATATAAGAAAGTGTTCTCTATTAACATTTACGTTATATATTACTCGACATTAGTTGCCTCCGCGTCCTTTCAAAATATTAACCTCTACTTTACGGAAAGCCCCTCATTACCGAGATACTGTGTGCGCACATTATTGTAAGTTGGCCGAGGTTTAGGCCTATGATTTAGTGGCATGAAATAATTCGGGAAAATGTAACAAATCACAAACGCACTGGCTAATCATTATCTAGGCAACTACCGCCTGTAGATTAACATGTAGGTCTTTAATTATCACCAAGAGACCCACAGCTTCACCTAACCTAACCCAGGACGTACTACTACACGAGGCGAGTATGTCGACCCTATTATACATACCAAGAGTCGTTGATGATGTACTGTACACTTCCATAGCAGGGATATTTTACCACCTAATTTTCATATTATCCTAAAGTTCGGGATTACTTTTATACATAAATGCAATTTTAAATTTATACACTTATATCTGACTTAGGTTTATTAAGCACATTTCCCTAATATCATCCAATATTATAAACTATTGGGTCAGCAAAGCTATAAATCGGTAACATGTGATCTCAAAGTACTTAATATCTAACTCTTAAAAAATAATGATAATTAGTAAATAAAATATAATCTTAATAATGAACATAAAATACTTAGGAACAAGCATAATGTCATCGTGTTTTCTCCCGCCACACACGACCGTTCAGCAGACCACCGACATACTGCCTCTCGATATTCTAATCCTGTCTGTCTGTCCTGTTAATTTAGCAAGACTTTCGGAGACGGCAGGGTTAAGTAGTATGCATATCTTCTGTACATACTTACTGAGACATACAATATATGCTGAGACATACAATACATGCTGAGACATACAATACTTTCTGAGACTTACAATACCTGTTGAGATATACAATACTTGCCGAGACATACAATACCTCTGAAGCATATAATACCTCTGAAGCATATAATACCTCTGAAGCATATAATACCTGCTGAGACATAGAATACTTCTGAGACATACAATACCTGCTGAGACATAATACCTGCTGAGACATAATACCTGCTGAGACATAATACCTGCTGTATTAAAAAATCCGTTAACCTCGAAATAGGCTTAGCGTGCTGAAAACAGGTATCTTATTTTCAAAATGAGACAATCTGTTTTCTCTTTTCAGGGAGAGTTGAGCGTGACAATCATACTTAGTCAATATTAAGTTGTTTGTTTCCGTTCATTCATGCATGTTCCACTAGAGACAGCTGTAAAGGGCTGAGTTTGTCCTTTTGCAAGTTTCCTTAATATACGATTTTATTATTTGTTAGTAACTTTTTAAACATTATGCTTGTGAACGTTATCAAGCTTACTCATTGATTTTGAATTAACTTTTGATTGTATCACAACAGAAAACTTTGACACTATGTTATAAGAGTAGTTCCCCCCAAACCGCCTCTCTTGCCAGGCTTATGTTACTGATATTACCTCTTTACTTCATGATCAGTCAACCTATTAATCCATTTTCTTGATTTAATTTATCACCATTCGCGTGGCTGCAAACCCTGCCCACGAACCGTTACCGTGGCAGGGTCAATATCCAACTAGCGACGGTGTTACTGTAAATTACTGTAGTCACTGCTGGAGACTGTCTTATGTCAACGTTGTCTTATGTCAACGTTGTCTTATGTCAACGTTTTCTTGAATATCTGATAAACCTTTTGTTTTAAGTTGCGCAAACCGTTGCCATGGCAACACTTGGTCAATTCAGGCATTATTTTCACCAAAAGTTTATCATCAGGACCTTGTCATATGTTTATCAAAGCTACCAACCAAGTTTGGTGTAAATCCTCAAACTTGTTATCGAGTTCTTCAGGGTACGGACAGACAACCAGACAGACTGGACCAAAAATTTACCTTGTCCTACAGTTTCGGCGCCCACTAGATGTACCAAATAAGTGAATAAATTCAAACTGTAATTAATAAGCTATATCTCAGCCTGAACCTTCCTCTAAGAATGGAATAACATAATACAAGTTGGATCATGTAGGTAAAGAGGCCTTGATCTCTTACCTCTGTTTTAGCATTAGGTGTTGATTCTACCTTTTTATATTTAGTGGACTTGCCCTCTTGTCCCACAAGTTGTAGTTATTATTTTGAATGTAAGTTTGTTAATAAATGCCCCACTTGTTTTTATTTTGTTTCACTGAGTTTTCTCCTTTTTTGCAGTATTAATGATTGTCGCGTCCTAGAAACTATTCATCCACCTAATTAACCCTTTCATTAGTACAGCAACTTATATTATAGACACAGCAAGTGTGTGCAGCGGAAGTATTGGCGTAGCACGTGTGGCAGGACGAGTGTAAAACCTTCCTCCCCGCCACACCCCTCAGTGTTTTCCACTAAGTATCTCTCCTGACGCTGTTACTATATTGTGAGTATATTTTTCAACTTATACAGTACACAGCTAAATCATGTATCGTTATCTTTCTTCTCCATAGTGCAGGAGACAACTTTACCTTCATCGCAGCATTCTTATCAAACATATTACCCTTCAGAACACATTTAATGACAGCTGGTGCTGCGATACTCTCGTTAGAACTCGGATGTTAGCTGACATGTGCTGTTGAAAGAGAGAGAGAGGCTACTACATAGAAATCTGATGTCCCGCTCAAACCTCTACCTATTATTCTCGGTGTTGCGGAGGTCAAGGGGTAATGTTATCCGAACGAAAATAAGAACATACTCCTTTGGTAACGTCATGCCCAAGTTGAAGCTTATGTAAACAGTTTGGAGATGCGGGTATAGAGACGAGTAGATGCTCACGTCGAGGCTGTCAGCTGTACTCAATAGCTCACAGAACTGACAAACCTTAGGGGTCTGTTATTCTGAAAGTGTTAGAATAGTTTCTTCAAGAGAACAAGATTGAGAGGTAAATACATTTAGATGTGTTAAGTACCTGTGAAATGAGTGCAGAGGCCACGCTGCCTCCTGTGCTGAACACTTTGTATTGCAGTATACTGTATCCACATTGACAGTCTTGTCTTTGGGCACCAGTTCCACTTTGAGATTGTGGTCTTGAGGCCTCAGGTCGTCTCTCGTAAAGTGATGGTTTTCCTTTCTGTACAATACAGGTGGTAGGTGGTCGTACGGTCTTGACAGGAGGCGTTAACCCCCCCCCCCTCCCATACCTCCCCGCCCCCCCACACACACACACATTAGCTTTCTTTCTTAGACGGTTATTACTTTTTTACATTATATTTGAGTGATATAATTAATATAGTTATTTATACCTCTGCAGTCCCCTCCTTCCCCACTCTGGAGTCAAGTGTTGAGTTCACGCAGCTGATAACCAACTGTTGATCAAGCACAACCCAAGTTAAGTGTGAATATCATGTTCAAGTTGTTGCTTTCATTTCCTAATAAACGCATCATTATCATGTACAAGTAGATTAAAAGCTGTGGGAGGTATTACAGGAATACAAAATATTTGACATAGTAAAAATAGCCACCATACTGAGGTGTTTACTTGAGACGCAAACCAACATGTGAAGGTAAATAACAAAAAACAACTTACAACATTCTCAGGTAAACACTTACGTCACAACAAATAATTGGGGCATAAACTTGTTAAATAACTCAACGACATACTTAGGTATAAATATAATAATTTAGAAATAAACAAAAATTACAAGTCCAACGAAGGCTCTCACACACACAAACACAGACACACAAACACACATCCAATGACTATAGACTTCCATTGAATCAGAACTGTGACGTCAGCGAGAGTGCCACTAGCCGGGCTGATAAAACTGCTCAAGTCCAATATTAGTGAACTGATAACATACCCAGCTGCAACACAGCTTAGGAAGTCTCTTGACATGGCTGGGGCGCCCCCATACATCATAGGGTCTACATCCCACTTGAAGGGGCCTAGGAAGTCTGCAGAAATATCAACTACACACACACACACACACACATCTGTAAGTTTATTAATTTTATAATATGTTCGGTGTTCATAACCTGTATCTCTCCTTCTCTTTCTCACTGACCAGAAGACAGTCATCCTCCAGAACAAACCAAGATAATTACATGCCGAGGCAGTAAAACTTAACGAGCACAATACGGATGTCATCTAGATATAAACATAATAATTTCACGGCATAACATGAACAGGGATAATATTTACACTCAGGTCAACAAGCAAAACTAGCACGCACCATACATTGTTGATGTTAGCTAAGGAGTAGTCTCACAGCCAGGATGTTTATTGTCTGTTTGCACTCTCCAATGTAAACCACACCTCTTCCACGTCCCAGATAACAAAATGTTCATGTACCACAATTTAGATTTCATCCCAACGTCTTGTTTATTGGTTGAGACTATATGCCCAGTGTATTGGGTGTTGATATAGTCTCAATATGGACAAAGCGCGCTAAACGGTGGCGTCACGAATTGGCAACCTACAAAGCTTATGTTGCCGACACTTGGTCACTGTTTTTTTCTCTATCGGCGGGATTAGAACGTCCAAATGTGGTAATTGTTTACAATAGTCTGCCTCAGGTGAGTTAATGACTTTTACTCACTTAAGGATGGGCTACAACAACCTTACACACGTGTCGTAGTCTTCGATAAAATCCATACTCACCAGTACAACCAACACTAATAACGACGCACACACACACACACACAGACAACATGCAAACACCTATAAATGACAGCCAGCTACATATGCAAACACAGGGCGGGCGCACACACACACACACACACACACAATAAGGAGTTCTATCTCTCGGCTAAAGTCTTTCTCCCCTTGTATTCGGAAGGAAGTACACAAGGGCTTAAAGACTTTAATAAACCACAAGGACACAACTACACCTGTGTGAAATTATTAAACATATTAACTCTAGTTGGAATTATGATTCAGTTCTTGTTTATCCTTCATCCGGCTCTTGTTTATCCTCTATCCAGCTCTTGTTTATCCTTCATCCGGCTCTTGTTTATCCTTCATCCAGCTCTTGTTTATCCTTCATCCGGCTCTTGTTTATCCTTCATCCGGCTCTTGTTTATCCTTCATCCGGCTCTTGTTTATCCTTCATCCGGCTCTTGTTTATCCTTCATCCGGCTCTTGTTTATCCTTCATCCGGCTCTTGTTTATCCTTCATCCGGCTCTTGTTTATCCTTCATCCGGCTCTTGTTTATCCTTCATCCGGCTCTTGTTTATCCTTCATCCTTCATCCTCTTGTTTATCCTCCATCCGGCTCTTGTTTATCCTTCCTTCATCCAGCTCTTGTTTATCCTTCATCCGGCTCTTGTTTTTCCTTCATCCGGCTCTTGTTTATCCTTCATCCGGCTCTTGTTTATCCTCCATCCGGCTCTTGTTTTTATCTTTCATCCGGCTGTTTGAGAGGATGTCTCGACGTATTGTTCCAACAGTAAACATCTATTGTGGTTATCGTAAAGAAATGAAACTATTACAGAAAAATCTATACCCTTATATTGCTTGTGTGGATATACAGACTTCTGAGAGACGTTGGTGAACATAGCTACCTGAGGACCTCTTATGAAGTAGTAGAATCATATTGTACAGGTAAGGTAATTAACTTTGAGAGGAGCAATAATTGTTTTTTTCTAATTACGTAACCCCGAGCCAGCACACACACACACACACACACACACACACACACACACACACACACACACACACACACACAGTATCTCTCATGTTCATTTCAAAATTCATAATAATTGCAACTCATACCTGAGATGTTTACATATAACTTAACATAACTTCATACATATATATTTAGTGTAGTAATATAATAAAAAATCAATTTGTTCTTCTCTTTCTCTCTCTCTCCTGGCCTCATGCACACACGAACACACTGTACTAAGACCTATAATACCTAAAGGACAAGATTGAGAATAGAGAAAATAGGAAAATAATGGTTAGGTTGGGTTAGGTAGTTCATCGTTCCGTGATTTTTAAAGCGTTTGGGGATCACTCATTAACTGACGCACACGCTACTTATCCTTAACCCTTCTCTCGGGAACAAGGTTAATAGATGGTGATTAACGAGTGTCATTCAATTAGTCGAGTTTTGTCTGCGCCGTAGTTTTTTGTTGAGAGAGCTGACGAAGTGGTGGACGGGTTATGTAGAGTAGGTCTGACAGCCACTCCGGAAGGTGGATGACGGCCTTCTGTTTGAAGAAGTAATAACAGTCGAAGGCGTGGTAGCGTACTCTTGGATACCTCTTCGTCACTGCTTCCGTCATGGCATGCAACACCGAGGTCATATCCTTCTCCTGAAAGAGTTACAGTATAGATATATTTTTTCCTTCTGTGCGATAAACAGACAGTGTGAATGTGTGAAACAAAGGAAACACGTTAGGCGGACATTTCGTCACCGGTCTATTCGTCACTCGGTAATTTCCGATGCCATAACAAATATTTAATTCAATTTAATTTATTGAGTGACGTGTTATATTTATTAAACTTAGATAACAATGTCTTTCTTTTGGAGGTAATGAAGCCATGGTTAGGTTAGGTTACGTTACGTTAAGACTGATTTTAATTGTTTGTAAATAAAAACAAAACAATAACACCGCAATCTAGGGTTGGGACTCTGACACAGTGATGGAGTTTAAGCCTTCACGGTAACTAACACCTTCAAATCTATATCCCGGAGATGATCTGACCGAAAAACACTGTTGGCTGAACCTGTTGCAGTATAACACCAGATATAAACCTCACTTGTGAATATTTATAAAACTAGACTAATGTTCTTCGTTATATATGGAGTATTTCTGAGTTAAACAATGACACTCACTCCGCTGTTAGCTTGAGTTTTAGCGAATTTAACCAAGGTATCAAAGTAGTCCTTGCCATAGTCAGCTCGCACCTCCTCGCTCATGGACCCCCACATCTGATCCCCCTGTTCACTGATCCACTGCTGCGCGTTGATGTTGGTGGCTGTAAGAAATCAACAAGACTTTAGTGCCAAGGACCACACCGCCAATCTACCCTCCACCAGACACTGAATGACGGTGCTTGTGTCACAGTGAGAATAGAAAGGATGCATTGATGGGTCATATAAACTGTGTTTGTGATTGTTGGATATAATTCTATCTCCTCCCCCTCCCTCCTCCCCCGGTGCTGGAGGCTTCAACCCCCCTCATAGTAGTCTAATTATAAATATTTTTCATTATCATTCAAATTATTTTTATATAACTAAAACCTGTTTGTAAATAATGATGTATTAAACATATTGAAATTAGACACACGTATATACAGTACACATAGTTAACGGTAAAACAATTCCCCCCGTGGTCATATAATCCCTTTCTTCCCTGATTGATCACTGGTGTTAAGGCAGCAACTCGTATCAGGGCTTCGTACACACTAGACATGATCCGTAATACAGGAATGGCTCTCAATGGCTCACTTAACCTCCTATATAAACACGGTAACCTGAGTGGCATCGAAACGTCCGTGAGACTTTAACTAGACGCTATATTTTTTTCCCCAGTTAGATGTAAAGCTTCAATGTATTAATCCTTGAAGAACATATCTCACCGGCAGAGAAGTTGCTGGGTTCTACTAGGATGACGGAGACACCCCACGCCATCATCTCCTGCCTGTAGGAGAAGCAGAGGAGATTAGCACATCACCAGCACCGTGTGAGCTTCGTCAGACACAATCACACCCAACCACACCTTTCCATATGTAACCTTACCTTACGATTATTTTCTCACTTAACCTAACCTAACCCAAATTATTTTTCTCATCTATTTAGCCAAACCTAACTTAACCTAACAAGTTTTGCTTACATCTAACCTAACCTAACCTGCAATAAAAGTGAATGTGGGTCCTTAAGGTCTGACAACCCGCTAGGGACAGTGTGGATACAGCTGACATTTTCTAATGAGGTGAACTAGGAGTGCCCTGGGATCGAACCAATGACTCATAGCACAGGAGTTGATTGTTGTATCCTCTACACCACCGCACCTTAACCTACTATATGCTTTTTAAACCTTAATCTAACCAAATCTAATCTAACCTAACCTAACCTGACCTAATCTAACCTAACTTAACTTAACCTAAATAAGCGCCCCTTAATAGTATCTAAAACTAAATTTATATTAACCTAAGATAAATTAAAAAGTAATTATTAAAGTACCATCATAATTAATAATCTCTCTCTCTCTCTCTCTCTCTCTCTCTCTCTCTCTCTCTCTCTCTCTCTCTCACCGTAAACAGTCGCTGAAGCCCTCGATGGCAAATTTGGTCAAGTTGTAAGGTGACATGACTCCTCGCCCGATGGTCCCCGCTACGCTGGACATGTTTACCACCCGACCTGTAGGAGGCAAACACTTCCAAGCTCACGGTGGTGGTAAAGAAGTCGGGGCAAATGGTGCACAACAGGAGTGAAAGAACAGGTGGTGGGGTAGGAGAGAGATCACAGGTGGTGGGGTAGGAGAGACACAGCACAGGTGGTAGGGGAGAGAAAGCACAGGTGATAGGGTAGGTGAAAGGATTCCATGACAAAAACCCAGTGGACAAAATCCCAGTGGACAAAATCCCAGTGGACAAAATCCCAGCGGACAAAATCCCAGCCTCTTATCCCAAAAGTGGACAAAAACCCAGTCTCATATAAGATTAATTAATAAGATTAGGTGTAAAGACCATTCGCCTGTTATCATATTAATAATATGATGTTATATTATATTATATTGTATTATGTTTACATAAATGGAGCATAATTTTGTGAGCATGAAATAAATTTATATATTGAATATTGTTTATTGTATCAATTTGACTTTAAATTTTTTTTAAAAGCTTGTTTCTTTATATATATATGAGACTTTTATTTATGAAACTGAATTTTATTTTATTTTATCTATTTTATTTTATTTATGAGACTCGAATTTTGAATGTTAAATTTGTTTTTTTTAAATATGAGACTTTTATTTATAAGACTGGGATTTTGTCCACTGGGATTTTGTCCTGTAACCAGGTGGAAGACAGCACGGGTAGTGGGGTAGGAGAAAAACATCACAGGTAGTGGGACAGGAGAGTGACATAACAGGTGGTGGAGTATGAGGGAAACAGGATATAAAAACAAATAAAACATTATAATATTGGTACAAAATAACAACTCGCTGGCATAAAATGACACAAGAGACAGAATGAAAACAGTGAACGAGGCGATGACACTCAGTTAATGTATTGAAAGGCTTATAAAAACTTCTCTATATCACAACAGAACGTCATTTGTAGACGTCTTCTGATAAATAAGTGATACAAGACGTCCTCCTTGTTCTGGTTGACGTCCCAAATAAGTAAAACTACGTTACTCACTCGTGTCAGGACGCCGCTTAAGTTCTACTCCGGATATATAAAAAAAAAAAAATTCCCGTCTTCTCGAAAATATTAAGACTATAATTCTTAAATATCCTGTTGTTTTGTTTTTGTTTTAAGCTCAGTAATAAGAGAGTGTTATTCGTGGTGTTAATTACCGACTCGACACATAGTGACAGTAAGCCTGTGTCTCATAGCTGGCTCACTTTTGTTGTAAGAAATGGTTAAGTTTGATATATATAAGGTAGATACTGTATGTTACTAGTGATGTCTGCCTTGACCAGTGTGAGGATCGTACCGTTAACTTATTGCCTGTGGATGAAGAGCTACCGTGGATTTATTGCACAGAATACTCTAGTGTGACTGTAGCTTAAGAGAAACTAGGAGGATACTGACTGCGTGTATTTCAGGTGTGTGTGATGCGTTTGAAGTTGTGTCATATTAAAACTCTCGGAAATACTTAGTAAACGGTAAACTGCGTCAGTCATGTGTACCCTAAAGCAATTTACTCCCTGCCTGTGTAGCTGACACCTTACCTTGTATTGTTTCTTCCCGGAAAAGCATAAACCTGTTCGCTCCTTATTGTTTAAGTAGTTAGTTTGAGAACACCAGAATTTTTTTTTAATAGGTGGTAATATATATCTCTATGTTTGATGTGTGTGTGTTTTTCTTCTCTGTACTAGACAACAACACTGACAAGAATCATCAAATCCGTAAAGTGTATAATTGTATATTTCTCTGTGTACGACTGCCCAGAGAAGGTTCCTCAGTGCCTGCAGCGTGAATTAGCCGACCTTCCTCTCTGCGGCCTTCTCTTTCTTCGTCTGTGTGTGTGTGTGTGTCAGGTCGTAAGCACTGCCGTGAAAGTCCCTCCGGGAAATTTTTTTTCGTTTGTCATAACAACAGAGACTTGAAGAAAGTTTCTCATCAGGACGCGAGACAGTGTTCATTATAGTCGCCTGGATGGTAGAGTTATACCAGATGATCACTACGTCTGTCTAGTTCTTTTGTCTTGAAGGTAGAGATTAGTAACAGTTTCCTAGACATGTGATGTTACAAAAGAGAGAGTGTAGCAGTGGTGGAAGGGGGTAGGAGTGGTGGGTGAAGGGGGGAAGTGGGAGGCACGTGGAGGAATGGTGGAGGGAGAAGGGGCAGTGGGGGGACACATGGAGGAGTGGCGGGTCGAGGGGGGTAGTGGGGACACGGAGGACACATGGAGGAAATGGTGGGTCGGACACATGGAGAAATGGTGGGTGGAAGGGGGGTAGTGGTGGAACGGACGCAGTAAGCCTCCCAAGATAACTGCTGGTGAAGATGTTACCGGGAATCCTGCCAACAACTTGCTTTATCACTGACCTTGACAGTCCTTCCCGTGGTCTAGTGTCTGAACACATGTGTCATTCCCTAGTTGATGCCTCTCAGCCACAATTAAGGCAGGTGCTGGTGTGTCGTCAGGTAGATAAAACAATTCAGGGCGTAATTTATCCATCCCTGTCGACTCCACAATATAGTAGTCATAGCCATCATAGAATTCCCGAATTGAAGCAAGTCACAAGTGTTCAGGTTAACAAAAAATTCAATACTGAAACAGCACCCTTTCATCGTTACTTGTGGGCATAAGTGAAGAGGAGGAAAGAAGAAAAATATAAAAGACAGAGGAAACACATGGATGAGAGTGAGGGAAAGAGGAAGAGGGGGTGGAGGGATGGGGGAGAAAGAGAGAGAGACTTACCTCTTGCTCTTCTGAGGAGCGGCAGGAAGGTCTTGGTGACGGAGATGACTCCGAAAACATTGACTTCCGCGACCTTCCTGTAGGTGTTCAAGGGCACCCACTCCACCTCCCCGAATGCCGATAACCCCGCGTTGTTTACCAGGCTCCACAGCACCTCTGTAAACATAACTCTTGTGTAAATAAACAATGATCACCTTCCCCACAACAATGGTCACTCGCACTATTTTAGAGGGTTTACATGTCCCAGTGTTCACGTGTACCAGTGTTCACGTGTCCCAGTGTTCTCGTGTCCCAATGCTCACGTGTCCCAGTTCCCACGTGTACCAGTGTTCAATAATCCGAATGATATAGATGATCAATTTCCCAGTATTCACTAACGTAAGCCAAACATTCAAAAGTTTCAACAGAAAATTATAGTGAGTACAAATGTTCTCTCCACCCACTCAGAGGAGAGCGTCACGCAGTCCTCGGGCAAGATAAGTTGGTCACGACTGGTATCAGAAATATTCTACAGGAGTTGAATTGATCTCTAACCTCCCTCGGCCATTACGTGTTTCTTACCTCCCTCGGGCAGCAGAAGTTTAACATTTTTACCTCCCTCGGGCAGCAGGTGTATAACATTCTTACCTCCCTCTGGCAGTAGGTGTTTATCATTTTTACCTCCCTCGGGCAACAGGTGTATAACATTCTTACCTCCCTCGGGCAGCGGGTGTATAACATTCTTACCTCCTTCGGGCAGCAGGTGTTTAATATTCTTTCCTCCCTCCGGCAGCAGGTGTTTAACATTCTTACCTCCCTCGGGTAGCGGGTGTTTATCATTCTTACCTCCCTCGGGCAGCAGGTGTTTAACATTCTTACCTCCTTCGGGCAGCAGGTGTTTGACCTCTTGGGCAGCCTTGTCGAGCTGCTCCTGGTTGGTGACGTCCATCTGTAGGACATGGAGGCGGCTGGACCCCTCCCGACGGAGGTGATTGGCTCCCTCACCTCCAGCATGCAGGCAACCTGCGAACACTCGGAACCCCTGTGGGAGGAGGAGGAGGAGGCTGGTGAACCCGAGCTGGGAATGAGAGAGTATCACTAAAAATAAGAGTGGCAAAATGGCGTCGAAAGTGCACTGAAACTCTATCATAATTAATATTATTTCTTATATCAGTTACTAAGACAACGAATTGATATTTGACAATTTAGATCTTGATGTGCGAACGACACTGTTGTGTTCAGTGTTCCTGCAGGACACAGTGTTAGGTGAGACTTCCGCCTGGCGCTCCGGGGCCAGATACTTCAACTTGTTTAAAAAATTCTTGACCGATTCATGTTGGCAAAAATCTACGTTAAGCGTATTGTAACATATCCTTTTTGTTTTGGTTTTGTTAATGATAGAAAATTTTTGGAAATTATAAATCCTCGTCGTTTTATAGAATGTATAGATAATATAAGATGACGCGATATTGTCATTCTGATAATGAACGTATAAAAACTATCGATTCTTTAACATTTAGAACATTCACATTCGCACTTTTTATTTCCTCAAAATAATTCTAAGTAAATCTAAATCCACTGTAATATTGGCTACAAAAGAAATTTTTTCCAGTTGTTACTTTGTTTCTGTCTAATATTTACAAGTGGAGTCTGACCGTCCATATGAAGTAAAGGAGATACGTACTGCCGTTTCTCTTCTACGGTGATGATGACCAGACCAGGTCTGTTTTATGAGCCTTTGGGATAAATGCAAGCATACACAGTCCGGTGTTACGGCAATTAACAATGTGTTGTTTCACGTTTACAAGTTGCCCAGTTACCGAGACAGTTTATAAGCAGATAGTTTGTATTCAAATCGTTCCTTCAGGCCAAATATCTTATGAGGTTCTTTTAAGATCATTTTAGGGGAAATAACTGAAAACTTGTTAACATCACATCAACTGTAGATGAATGGTAACGAGCCCATATGGTGTTCTTTATTGTATATTTGGATCATCTGAAGATTAGTTCCCCTCAGCTTACATCACCTTAAAACTAATCACCCTAACGCTAAGCCTAACCCAACTTAATCTAACCCTTAGTATCGCTAGGGTGTTTAATCGTCAAGTGATATAAGCTGGGGTGACTAATCTTCATGTGATCATAGGTTTACTCCACCAGAATAACAACCACATATTAAAAAAAAATTCTCATCTTCCATTATTAAGACGTTTCAGTGCAAAATCGTGTGAGCAGTTACAGTGTGAATCTAAATAATATATTTCACTTTGATGACACTTAAAAAGAATTCATGTAGTAACCTTACTAACACTTACTGAACACCGAGAACTTACTAATCTATCGAGGATGAGGGCGAAGGAGTTACCGAAGCCTGTGTCACACCCTGTTACCAGCACCGCCTTCCCTGAGGACGACACCTGCCAGAGGAAACGTGTGAGGGAAGTCAGTCACAAAGAAACAGAAATAGAGAACGTATATGAAAGTGAATAACAGATAATGAAAAGAAATTATAAACGAAATTTTAAAAGGAAATAATAAAAAAAAATAGTTGAAGGTGTTTGTGAAGGATGAAGGTGAGATGAATGAGAATTAGGGGATATTAATGAGAGTGGTGTGTGTGTGTGTGTGTGTGTGTGTGTGTGTGTGTGTGTGTGTGTGTGTGTACTAATTGAGGTTGATTCGTGCAGCAACAGGAAAAATCGACTTGCGAGTAGTTTTTTCTTGAGAGGATCAATATTAGTGTTAGTTCTGTGTTAACATGGGCGTACTGAATAAGTTATCTGGGGGGGAGGTGGGAGGGGGGGGGGGTCCATGCAGTTGTTTGGACCCGACAAGGAAGATATCGCTCAGATGCCTCAGACCAACATATCTATATCAGTGGTCAAATAAAGTTACTTTCTAAATTAATTTCAGTTCACAGTTTTGACTTCCTGTTTTCTTCATTGTTTTTCTCATTGACACGATGCGATAGACCCGACCATATGCAACCATCAATTAAAAGCAATATAATGCTAGTACGAAGAGTCAGAGGTGCCCAGCCAGCATTTAATGGGTTGATTGTGCGAGTCAACATAATGGGGTAAATACTGTATCATAATCTCCTCTCCATGTGAAGGTGAACTTGTCACGATAGAAAACATCAACAAATCAAGGTTCAGTACAAGACCTCAGAAGAGGAAAAAATCAAGTAACAAATACAATTGTAAAAAGGAAGAGTAAGTCTGCCATGGATCATAAATTAGAATATTGCATGATGATGATGATGATGATGATGATGTATGATGATGATGATGATAGATGTTTGGGCCGGTGAAGAACACTCAGGAAGACGGAGGAGAATAGATCGTGTATCAGATGAAGGAGACATTGAGTTGTTAAGATCTGGATTGATAACAGGATAACAGGATAACCTTCAAAGGGATAGAGAGAGAGATGATCCTGCACGTTACGCAATAACGGGTGATGTAGGAAAGAGGAAAAGTGAGCGAAGCACCAGCAGATATAAACATAGAAGCATCGTTAGCAAATGAGATTAATGTGGGAGATTAACAGATATATAAGATTTATATTACGTACAACACACTGCTGCCTTCATAGTTTGAGACATTGGTTACAAGATTATTACCTTCATTGTAATTTTGGTTCAGTAAGTTTATTTTACATATATATATATTTTGTTGTTTGTTATAATTTGAGGTTTTGTGTTTGATTCGTAACATGGATGAGAAAGGTCTACTCTTGTATGAAAGATAAATATATAATAAATCTATTCTTAAATTCAAAACACTCGCTTGAACTCTTACCGTCAAACTACTTAGTATCAGAGATGCCCCACCAGATAGCAGCCAGGTAGTAGGGAATACCGTCCACCAGGAGCAGAGACCTAAGACGTGCAGGAGAGCGGCCAGCAAGACACTCACGCACCCCCAGAACACCACCTCTTCTGTCTTGTCGTACGTCCAGATCATCCTCGTTCCTGTACCATAATATACATGTGTGAGTCTCCCTGCCACTCCCCCACCACACACTATCTCACTATCAGTCTAGAATATCTCATACAAAAGTAAAACAATAAACATTACGCGCCGGGTAAGTTGGTTCACTGTTCGGTAAACATATTTAGAATATTTCTATGTTTGAGAGACTGTTGGGTAATATACGATATCCATATAATTATTATCTAAGGGAACAAGATGTGTATGTGACTCGTAAAAGTAGATTAATTTAGTAATGTTATTTGATATAAATGTAATATAAACTGAGACCACATTATTTTAAAACTCGATAACAAGAGTAAATAATAATTGCAGCTTGTAACAGCCAAATTCGCTATTTCGTTCAACAAACAGTGTATACACATATTCTATAATGCTTTTTTCAGTCATAAATATCATAATTATCACATGTGAATAATTTTCTTTAAAATGAAATCCCTTAAAGACAAAACAATATTCAGGTGAAACACAAACAAGAAGACCCGCCACTTACTGCAGGAGAGTGTGAAGACAACACCTGTGGGCTGCTGGTGCTTGTATGTGGTCTTGTACTGGTGGGCGTAGCGGGCTGATAACATCTCATAAAACTCCCCAGCGCGTCCTTCAGTAAGTTGATGGAGAAAGTCTGTGATACAATATATGTATCTGCCAGCTGAACCTATAGTGATAAGTGTAATAGATAGTAATAAAGAAACTTCCCCATAGTGTGTTACCGCAAGCAGTGGTGAATAGGATAACCCTAGAACAAATATTATGTTAGGTTCTAAGTCATATCATGTTTGTTGGTCGTGCCTGCCCGTATGTATTAGAGTATGGAATAATTGTAGATAGAGAGAGACATAGAGAAGGATGTGGTGTACAGTAGTTCAGTGTATGCTCTCTACTACTGGCTTCTTGGACACTGATGTCTCAAAAGTGTTAAAAAAAAAATGTGTGTGTGTGTGTGTGTGTGTGTGTGTGTGTGTGTGTGTGTGTGTGTGTGTGTGTTATTGTTTCTACGTATGTTTATTTACATGAGTATGTGTTGTACAGTATGCATTTATGCATGTCCACGTACGTCTAAATATTTATGTATGTGTTTACTGTTTCTTGTGCCTGTGCCTCTATGAATGTAGATGTTTGTTTGTCCGCACTCTCAGTCTAGCAGATGATAATAACTACAAGTCAGCAAATGTTGTCATTCCCAATGCTGAATTAAGTAAGAAAGTACAGTAATACTCGTCACTCATTTTATCAATATAATACAATTCCAAAAAAATATCATTTGAAAAATAAATTGTTCTGAAAAATAATCACTTATCCATTATACAACACTGATATAAGTCACGTTGATGTTTCACCTGATGAAATTCCAGCTCCAGAACTCCTCAGGGTCAGCTCACGACACACACCGCAGACCTCTACCGCAAGCACCTCTTCTGTAGCCTTAGTTTCTTACCAGATTATGAAACAAGACGACGCACTCCCTCACCTACAGTCCCTCTAGATAATTAATATGGATAGCAGCAACGTGGCCTCAATTGTGGAAGTTAATGACTACTGTCCTCTTGTAAGAAATGTTTGGTAAGATTTTTTTCTTTTCACTGGCGACTCATTTACGACACAGAGGTGGCGACAAAATACTTAATACTCGTAGATGTGTGTCTTTTACTGGAATGAATGATGCCCGTCAACACAATTATCTGACAGTAACACAGGAAGAACAGACAACGTGTAACACCCTACTTGTGCAGCAGCAGCCATCCACCAGCTCCACTATGTCTCTCCCTCAACACACCTGCAAGATAACCACGTCAGCTACCTACCAAGGTCCTCCCTCCGTGTCTGGCAATCAGCACAGGGGCTAGTCAGACAAGGAGATGCTCGCTCGTACACCACTACGCTCGGGGCAAGGGTACGCAGAGGCCTCCACTACCCACTATGGTTATCATCTCCCGTTAATACTAGATGCAGTGTTTGATCTTCATTAATGCAAGTTTATTTTATTTTTCATGTGTGTGTGTGTGTGTGTGTGTG